CGTTATAGAGAACATAATTGTTGATTCTTGCCATTGCGCGTAGCGTTTAACTGGTTATATGGAGTTTCGAATTAATATTGGAATTTTGCTTATGCATGGTATGCAACCAGCGAACGTGTACACTCCAACCTGTTGATTCTTTGGCATTTTATCGAAGGCATTACGGGGGATTTGCATATATTATGTTAATCGCTTATTGCGGCAAAATTAATTATTGGCGTTGTAAAAACTGCCGAACTATTTTATGGAAGATTATTAGAGCTACACAGTAGAGTTAATTTGTAGTGTAATTTTCCCCAAGTAAGCAAGTATGATTTAACACTATAGCACCGAGGATAAAGTAATTTTACACTTTATTAAAAAGTGTTAATTTACCTGATATCGTTTACTTCTACACTTCCTGGGTAAAATCCCACTTTAGTTCAGTGTAAATTAACACTACTTTGGAAAAGTTCTAATTTTAGAAAGGTACTTTTACTCTTTTAGTGCAAACTTCTAGTGTAAATTAACACTATTATTTGAGTAAAACCTATTGGTGGTAGTGAATAAAACGAAAAGGTAAATAAAGAGAAACATTTATTTGGAACAAAAATCTATGACAATTATCAAAATCGGTGCCTTTTAAAATATAATTTTATATTTGAGTCGTATGGCTGGCTTAAGCAAAATGGTTCCTTAAAACGTAAAAGTTTTAGATCAATGCAATGTTTTACTGGCTGTCAACTTGTAAGCAATGAATTATCTTGAGAATTCATCAGTAATCCATTTTTCTGTTATAAAAAATGGGTGATCCCATTGGTAGAGAGGCGTCAGGCGGCTGTATGTCGGGGATTTACCACACGTGTACAAATTTTCCATAATATTAATAATTAAAATGTAGGTATAGGTTAATATAACAACCATTACGCTTAAAAATAAAAAGTAAATCAAGTGTGTATGTATTTATATTATTAATGTTACAAGTACCCGACCTACTGCCGTAAATTATTGATATATAATATAGGTCGGGTATGGACATCCTTTTAACATATTGGTATTTATTGAGTATTAAGGCTTAAAGAAAAAGGAAGTATAACACTTACCAAAAAATAAGAATGTCCTCTTATGGATTCACCGTAATTAAAATCTAACTGAACAAAGTTAATAAGCACTAAATGCTACCTAGTGTATTTTGTAGTGTAACTTTTACACTTACAAATCAACTCTAATATTTTTACCCCTACACTAAAATTTACACGGGCAAAATTTTTTACTGTGTATATTTACATAGCTCTTGGGTCTATTCAAAAGAGCAATTCTTTTAATTCAAAGTGATTTTCCTTCATTTTAAGGGATTACTTTTTTCAGTTTACGTAAAACGCTAAATTAAAAATTATTTTTTCCCTAAATATGTACAGGATTATTTTATAATAAAAGCATGATTGGAAGGAATATTGTAAAAGAAGTACGAAATAAAAAACAATTTTCTACTATGTACCTACCATTTGTGATCTAATCAATTTTTATGAACTCCGGATGGCTGCTAGAGGTGAACTTTTATGTTCTGTGCACAGTGACACAAATCTGATTAAATATTGGGTTTATTTGGTTTTGAGGTTTCTTTTAAAACACCAGGTCTAGTAATAACATAACATAAGTGGTTCTGCACTAATGCAAGAATTTTAAGAAATTATACATTTTGAATATTAGAGCTTCACGGAGGTTAGGATTTCGTATGTTTTTTTTAAACATCCCTTTGTAAATTTGAAATAAGTTGTATCCTTTTTTAAAAATACAATTGTACATACATAAAATATTTATAACAAAAATCTAATTACACTTCACGGTGGATAGGTTTTTAAATAGCAATTCAAACTTTTGAATTATAAAACAGCAACACTCTCATCTGCATATAAATTCTAACTGACCTTCAGGAATCACATGCATCTATAATGTCGTAAACAGAGGTTTTTGCTTATTTAAAATGATTAAAGCGCCATCCGTTGCACAAAATTTAAAGCAAAAACAGATTCACGGAGGATAGAATCAATTTTTGTAGCACCTACATAAATGGTTATAAAAATTATTTCTTTTGATTTTTAACAATATTTTATATTTGATTCGATTGCTTTGGATGTGTTTAATTTGCTTAGTGAACTGATATTTTTAGTATGCTTGCTACCTCGGATATTTGAAAACATTTAGGTTAACCTAGAAAGAGTAACAGTCACGGAGGATAGGTTTTAGTATTTTAAAACATTGTAAACAATAATTAATTGCGGTTAAAAATCTGGTAGTGGTAGTTTTTATAAGATAAAATACCACTGTGCGCTCATGCATAGCAAAATTCAATATCGCCGATGGAAAAAAGCTTCGGTTTTAAAACCCGGTGTCCGCTGTCTGGACGGAGGCGGCTGTGGTGGCGGCATTTTAATGGAATTAAATCGAAGTATGCTACGCTCGACATCCGTGCAATTTGCAGCTGCAGCTGCCGTGGTTGTTAGCTGCAAAGTTCAACGGCTGTCGACTGCATTCCGTTACTTAACGAAATAAAAGCCGAATCGATCGATTAAGAACGCCTCGTTATCGTTATTCAATGGGCTTGTCAAAATGGATTTTGTTAAGTAGTTTTTATGTTGTCCACTAAATTTAAAAAACTTTATATTAATATACTTTTTTATATTTTAAAATGGTATTTTATTTCCAACTGAGACTTGCTCGACGAACTCTTTTTTTCGGTTGAACACTCCCGTTTGCAGTAAACTGCTTGACTGTACGGCGAAATGAAGTACGCGATCGAATTTTATCCGGAAAACGCTTAGCGTAGATATTAACAGCATCATCAAGATTCCTGCCTGCTTCTCCATAAATCAAAATCATTTCTATTTTTTCTTCCACTGTTAAAAAATCCATTATGAATAACTGCTTAACGAAAGGAGGTCTTTTTGTTTGCAAATTAATCTTCGAACTAAATTGATTAAATAATGCTAAACTATGTGTTACCTCAATTATTATTAAATTAATTAATTGACAAAATAATGTTTTTTACCTTAAATGAGTTATTCTTATTAAAAATAGTACAATAATCCTTTAAATTAAAGGATTTAATGCTGGCAGGTAAAAAGTGACCATGGTGCGCAATTGATAATTATCACCGAATGAAATAATGTATAAAACTTAAACCAAAGGAACCTTAAATATATTAGTTAAAAAATCGTGGGTACTTAAAAAATCAGATTTAATTTAATAAGATAATTATTACCAAAAAAGTGATATTTTTACAGAAAAATTATTGCAGAATCGTATAAGAAGAAAAATCGAACAAAATTGATTTTTGTTTATTATTATTATTATTATATGAAAAAATGTTTTAGACAAAATCTACCTATTTTCAGTCGAATGATCCGAATCTGCAATAAAAAATAGGATGTTCCATTGAAAATTTTATATTACACCTTTTAAATGCTTATTATTTTGCATTAATTATAATTAAGTGCCTGTTAAGTTAAGTGGTAGTTAACATTATAAGACTTTTTAAGTTTTTATCGGACTTTACCATTTTTTCAAATATAAAATTTAATTTAAAAATAATTTATTTCTTAATACAGCGCACATTTTTAAATTGCTTTTCGTCCAGAATGTGTCTAAATTTGAATTATTTAAATTTGTGTAGTGAAAATTTTCACTTAATTCTTCATCGCTCGTATATGTTAATTTTTATCCACCATTCCTAAAGTACGTTTTTGCATATTTTTTTATTTTATGTGAAAAATTTATTTATCGTACATGTTTCCATGACACTTTAAATACACATTGACAAGTTGTGGCTTTATGGCGCTTTAGTCACGGGCTGAAGTTAGCAACAGGTTTTTAGTCACGGACTGAAGTTAGTTTTAAGTTAGTTGACAGTTGTCAAATGTCGTACAATCGTTAAAATAAAGTGCCTTTCTTGTAAAATAATGCTAAATGTGAAAATTATTTTATTATCTCAATACAAAAATACAAAAGTATTAAATAGTTTCTCAACGCCAATATTTGAAAAGTTTATATGAACATTGTATTGACCTTTTAATTTCGCCGGCAGTAAACTATAACTTAAATTCGGGCACGGACTCCACTGTAAATTGGTCATAAAACATTTTCTTTACTTTCACTGTGAAAAACTGTCAACACATTTCGATTTATGACCTTTATAATCTGTGTATATAAAATAAAAAAAATTGACATTTGACGGTGACACACAGATTCCCCTATTGTTTCATAGATGGCGCTCTATACAAATTTTTGATTTAAATCATTTTAAGATAAAAATAAGTATTTTTCGTAGAAAAAGTATAGTATGCACCTCGTTTATAAAAAAATACGATACTACGACAAAATGTATTGTTAAAAAATGACAAATATCCAACAAAAATTTAAGATTGTCAAAACTGTATTTAAGAATGTTAAACTTTATTATTAATATTAAGATGCAAAATACCTACCCACACAATTATTAACAAAATATCGTTATGTTGTGTGAAAATTATTTTATTATCTCAATGCAAAAATACAAAAGTATTAAATAGTTTCTCAACGCCAATATTTGAAAAGTTTATATGAACATTGTACTGACCTTTTAATTTCGCCGGCAGTAAACTATAACTTAAATTCGGGCACGGACTCCACTGTAAAGTGCTCATAAAACATTTTCTTTACTTTCACTGTGAAAAACTGTCAATTTTCAAGAAACACATTTCGATTTATAACCTTTATAATCTGTGTTTATAAAATGTAAAAATGTGACATTTGACAGTTTCCCCTGTTGTTTCATAGATGGCGCTCTATACAAATTTTTGATTTAAATCATTTTAAGATAATAATAAGTATTTGTCGTAGAAAAAGTTGCACCTTGTTATTAACAAAATTTCGTTTTGTTTTTTTTACTTTACAAGTGTAAAATATCAATTTTTACGACTTTGCAACGCAATAAACGACGTGTACATTACATTTAATCTCTAATAATTCAATTTTGATTGCAGATAAAAACGTACGAGAAGCTGGAATGCGCGGAAGAGAGAAAAAAACAGGCGAAGGACATTTACGACAATTTTATTATGAAAGAACTTTTATCTAGATCTCATGTAAGTGCTTTTCTGAGCTCTTTGAACCCGGTCACTTTTTTCAAAGAAGACTCGATTTTCAATCGTTATTTTTTCCTTATTTTAAAGGCGTTTTTTCCAGGACTATTCCATGTCTTGCCTTCAACATGTGCAGACGCACCTCATTAGAAATGAATTCCCTGTTTCCTTATTTGAAGTAAGTTCATAAACATATTATGTCAAATATTTAATATAGGGTCAAAAAGTGTGTAAATTTACGTCTATAGAGATATTTGCCATAACTCAAAAGTTATTAAGGGTGGATATTTTTTTATTAAAAGCCCTGTATGTTTTTACAACAAAGTTTCATGTTTTATTATTTTTTTAGTCGTACATAGAAGAAATTTATAACCAATTAAGGGACGAGCCTTTTAAAAAATTCTTAGAAAGGTAAGTTATAAGTTTATTTTAGAATTCTTTAAATTTGTACATAATTTTCTTGTAATATTCACTTTATACCACAATTAAATAATTTAAAAAAAGTTGCAAAAATGGTGAATGCGCCGGGATTAATTTTAAAATATTTACAAGCCAATATAAACCCAATATAATTTTACATAGTTTTTATACCAAACATTTTACTGTAATGTTGTTCTTAAGGACGATTTTCTCATTTCAATTTTTTTTTATTTATTAAAAAAATGTTTGTGTTAAGGTAGTTTTCTTGGAATGTTCTTTAAATTAAATATATGGTTTTAGATATTACAGCATAGATTCCAAGAAAATATATATATATATATAATAATTTTTAAGGTTACATTTGTTTTCATACGCCGCAGTGTTCTCTAAATGATATAAGATTGTTCAAGATGAAAACTTAAGCAATAAAACACGAAAGATAAATTTCCAGGAAATATTACTTAATAATTTTAGCGTGCTTTGTTTATTAAAGCATTTAATATAATCAACTTAAAAAAATAAAATATTATAAAAATAATAACGTTTTAGTTAAATACTTGAAACATGAACTTAAATTTAAAAAATTTAAATGAAAAAAATTGTATAAACTTCAATTAAAACTTAATTAAAGTTTTATATATACTAAATTGAATTAGTTGCCCAACCAAATAACAATAATGTTATTTAAATAATAACATCAGAAGTGGGATAGTGATCTGTGCAGCGACCTACAAAAATGGCGCTGTGGAGATCCCACAATTTAATTTTAGAAATGTGAGCTTTAGGTACACTTTGGTTTTGTATTTCCAAGATGGAATGTATTTTTTTACCAAAACTTAAAAATAAAAGACTATTAGCCTGTCTAACCATAAAAACAAAAAGTGCAACAAAAAATCCAGGGGATTAAGATCCGGCGATTTTGGCGGCCACGCGTCATGTTATCCACGATCGCCCAGGAAAGTGTTCATTCAAAATATATTTTTATAATTTTCTTACAATTACGAATGTTACGCACAAAATAACGGGTTTAATACCGATGCATTCGCCATTTTTGCATAACAAACTTTTCAGATGTAATTTAAAAACATCGTCTTTTTTTTCTTTTTCAGTGATAAATATACCAGGTTTTGTCAATGGAAAAATTTAGAATTAAATATACAGGTAAGAAATTTAATACTAAAACTAAAAAAATATATAATTTATGTTTTTGTTTACTTAAATAGAAATTGCTTAAAAAAATTAAAAGTATACTTTAAATTAAATAAAAAACAATTTTAAATAACTTAGAACCCAGGGTATTAAATCTGATCAATTACGTGTTGTTTGTGCTATACCTGTAGGTTAAACCAGTATATTTTCGCCGCTACTGATTTAATTAAATTAAAATTTGTACAGAATCACTTATTAATACTTTTTTCAGTCAACTTTAAACAGCATAATATTTGGCATATTGGTTATAATATTTTTATGATTTTTCTAGTACTTACGAGACTTTTCTGGCAATAAATTTTGTTTGACACCAAAGAAAATCCTTTTTTTCTTCCTTAACATTAACAGCCGCTTATTGTAAATAAGTAAATTAAGGACGGCATGGCGAATCGATTTTGACATTAACTGTCAAACCAATGACTTTGATACCAACTATCTAAAGTAAAATTCGACCAAATTAAATTTAAGGTATAAAATTAATTTTTTTATAGAATTTTTGCAAAAAAAATAAGATAGCATAAAGAACTCATCTCATAAGACCTTTTGTCGCACTCGTCCTTAGTTCTTTAATATACTATTATAAAACCTATATTTTTTTAATTAATTTGCTTTTATATTATAACTCTCATAATATAGAAAACTTCATATTTGTTCAATTTCAATTCAGTAAAAATAAAAAAAAATCGTCTAAATTCAAACAGTGTCATGTATTATTAAAAGCGTTGATTGGGAAAGTCTCTACTCAACGGTAAAAAAATCAAAAATGGGTATTATATTTTTTTAAACGGCCGATCTCTCTACTAAACCATTATAAGTAAAAAAAAATAACTAAAAAAAAAACAAAACAAAGAAAATATCAAAGCAATCTTAACCCAAATTGCGAAACTCAATACGACTTATTGCTTAATAAAAACCAACTACTAATACTAAATACTAATCGAGACAAAAACTATTAAAAGATCAGACAACAGCTTTCAATAATTTAATCTGTGCAACGCAAACTTCAGTCATGTGATGTAAAACCACTAATTAGACACAGTGGTCAAAACTTAAGTATAGGACGAACAAAAATGCCAACCAAAACTGATAGCATGTTTTGATTATAGACCCTTTTGGTAACACTAACATGTATTTATCAAAATCCCAGCTGATCCTATTTTAAAGTTTTGCAAACTTTTTTGTTTTTCTATTTCTATACCTATATTATTTTGCAAGTATTGTACTAAAACTACCTGTACAATTTTAATAAAATTAACCAAAATAATAAACTTTGTATCATTTACTCCCCAGAATTAATTTATTGAGTCACCTATTATTTTTTACCACTCAAAACAAAACATGACAAAAAAAAAAAGATTTATATCTTAAATATTTTTTATAACAAAAAATACTGGAAGTTTGTCTATGAAATAATTACAACTTGCAAATTTTGTAAAACAATAATTAAGGTGGTTATGAAAAAAATTGCTATACGTTATAACGCAAGTGACATTTTGCTTTAGTTGTTTATTTAATGTATACTTACTTTATAAAGTTAAAAATAGTATTTTAAAATGAAAATTAAACCGAAATTCAAGTTAAGCCATGAAGAAAATCGAAAGAAGGTATGTGCTGGCTGTGGAGACAAAATTGTTTTTGGTAATCGAAAAATTTAGGGTTTCTAAAAAAATATAAAAATTACTGCATACTTTTTCAAACGAACACTTTAACTTAAGTGATTCAAAATTACCTACTTCAATATGGTAAAAACGGTATTTTTGCATAGCCACAATTACCAAATTTTCAAAATTTAGAAATTGCTAGAGAATTTCGTGGCAGCCAAGAATGTATGTGCTTTATCTGCAAAATGGCAAGATATAAAGGGCATACAAAATTATTAAGGGAAGAGGACGGACGAACGAACTAAAGTTTTGATATGCTCTTCCTTTCTAGGGGATATCGCTAGATTTAAGAAGCATGTTTGTACAGAGACTGAAGAATTTAAAAATACTGTTTCCATGTTAAAAACAATTCCATGTAAAACCCAAGAAAAAGTTTTACTGGAAATTTAAGGCAAGCAGTAATCGATTTTGCTTCAAAGAATCTTTAGTTATTTATTAGTTTTGTATTAGGTACCTTAAAACAATAAATAAGATATTGCAAACTGTTTTTTACATTATTTTGTATTTATCCATATTTCAGTCATGTATCTGCCAAATTTTTAAAAACATTTGATAATGGTACTAGAGTATTTTATCGAAACGGCATAAACAATTTTAAAATACTAAGAAATATGCAAAACTTTAATAAAGGATCAGGATTTTCATAAATACATTTTTGTGTTACCAAAAGAGTCTACAGGGTGTTATGTAATTAATGTTATATATTAAAATGGGTTGTTCCTTAGGGTCCATAAAGAAGCACCTGAAACTTTTTTTTTCTAAATTCCAAAGTCTAAAAATAATTTATAATAACCTTTATCCTACCAAAAAGTACGCCACTGATCGACTAGGAACTTTAGGTTAATCTGGTGGATTTATTATGTTATGGTTGGTAACAACAGTTTTTCCAAAATCTCTCAAAAAAGTTGACAAACATTGTTTAAATTTAGCTTAATTACAAAAATGACAAAATTAACAATGCAAATTGTCAATTTGGCGTTTTTATTAATTGTTGGTTATTTCATTTTTGTACTGAAGGTAAATTCAAACAAAATCTGCCAACTTTTATGACAGAATCTAGTGCATTTCTTTTAAATTTTAGGTTATGTTTTCAAATTGTAAATATCTTAACTAAGGGAAGTGCTTTTGGATTTATTTACACAAATTAAATGTTTAAAGTTTAACCTGTGAACTGGTCCCAATTTCTTCTGAGTAAACAGAGAAAAAAACTGATGAAAAAATTAATTTTGTGGTTATGGATTTCAAATTTCAAAGGTACTAAATTTTCTAATCATTGCTTAAGCTAATAGCTGGATCAGTAAATAAATACAGAAGGGTATTAGAGCTTTAAGGGCATAAAACTTTTGTATTTATTGAGTTTTTATTTATTTTTTGCAAGAAAAATTTTTAGTAACAATTTTTTACATCTGGCAACGCATAGCTACTTTGTTGGTTGGTATCTATGTACTCACAAAATACAGGTGTGCAGAGATAAACAAGTGTGTAACCAGTGGCGTATCACAAAAAATATAAAAAACTTATAATGCATATTTTTCCTTTATCTTCGGAAAAATGTTTTTTTAAATATTTTTCCTTTATTCCTTATGTCAAAAGGTATTCAGTATTTTAATATATAACATTAATTACATAACACCCTGTATAATCAGATTATGCTATCAGTTTTGGTTGGCATTTTTGTTCGTCCTATACTTTAGTTTTGCCTGTAACATTGTTTTTTTTCTTCTTTTAAAATCTAGTTGACCATGAACGACTTCAGCGTGCACCGGATCATAGGTCGCGGCGGCTTCGGCGAGGTCTACGGCTGCCGGAAAGCCGACACGGGCAAAATGTACGCAATGAAGTGTCTGGACAAAAAGAGGATCAAAATGAAGCAGGGCGAGACGTTAGCGCTGAACGAGCGAATCATGCTCTCCTTGGTCAGGTAAATCGAAAACGCTACCCCAGTAGCACAAAGATATTGGCCAATATTCGTAATAATATTGGGCCAAAACATCTTTGAAAGAAAAAAAAGATGCCCAACTAGTACTCACTACGCAGTAGATACATATCACTTTTAGAAATCCGAAATCATCGTTGACTATAGTTAATGATGTATTGGCGTAAAATAATATGCCAATATAGGACCAACCTTGGATAAACATTGGCATTGATATATATATTAAATTATCATTTTATGCCAATATAGGGCTAACATCGGCTAAATAAATCCAATATTGGGCATGTAGGACCAATATTTTGTGCTACTGGGGTCTTGCCTTAAGATCGTCGTGTTAACTGGGTGTTATTTCGATTTCAGCACGGGCCAGGATTGCCCCTTCATAGTGTGCATGACGTACGCCTTCCACACGCCCGACAAGCTCTGTTTCATATTGGACCTCATGAACGGAGGCGACCTTCACTATCATCTCAGTCAGCATGGCGTGTTCAATGAGAGCGAGATGAAGTTTTATGCGGCCGAAGTGATATTAGGTGAGGAAACGTTCGATTGTAAGTAAAAAAATGTATGAATTTTTTTTTTTTAGGATTGGAGCATATGCATAGACGTTACATTGTATATAGAGATTTAAAACCAGCCAATATATTATTAGACGAACATGGACATGTTCGGATATCGGATTTAGGTTTAGCCTGTGATTTTTCCAAGAAAAAACCCCATGCTAGTGTGTAAGTACAAAAAATATCAATCTGTCATTCTCATCTAGAATATTATTGTATTAAGTTATTTTTTTTTAATATTTAATCAATCCTTCTACCTCTTTAGACTTTCGCTGCATACAACTTATTTTTAGATTTTAAATAACACTGCATATAGAACTGTCACTCCCATTGTCAAAACCAAAACCATTACCATAAAAACCAACTATCAACAACCCGCAGTGTTGTTGCTTTTAAATGCTATTTTTTACGTTTTTTAACTTACCTTTTGCATTAAAATAAAAATAATTATAAAACCACTTCGAAAATAGGCTGTTTTTTTAATCAAATGTAATAAAATGACAAAGGTAATTTTGTTTTTGCAAGTAGTTGGTATGTATGTACCGCCACTTACTAAGAAGTAATAAAAACTATAAAATGATCCAAGAAAGAAATTAATTAAAAAACAATATAATTTAAAAAAAAATTAAAATTTTTTGGAAATTTTGGAAATTTTAGTGATTTCGAAAACTTTGGAAATTTATGCAACTGTCCTACCATTTTTTTAATTTAGCCCACTGTGCGAATTTGTCCTACCATTTTTTTAATTTTTGCTACTTTCCATTTTACGAAATTACTAATACCTGTTTAAATTTTTTGGAAATTTTGGATATTTTAGTGATTTCGAAAACTGTAAATTTATGTCACTGCGCGAGATTCCCTACCATTTTTGCTACGGTCCGAATTTTTCCAACAATATTCGAAATTATTAAACTTTTTTGTAAATTTTAGTGATTTTGAAAACTGTGCGAATTTGTCCCACCATTTTTTAAATTTTGCCCACTGTGCGAATTTTTAAAGTTTTCGCTACGGACCGAATTTTTACTGCAATTTTTTGAATTTTTGGAAATTTTAGTGATTTCTAAAACTTTGTAAATTTATGCCACTGTCCTTTTATTTTTTAAATTTAGCCCACTGTACGAATTTTTCTGCCATTTTACGAAATTACTAATTTTTTTTGTAAATTCTGGATATTTTAGTGATTTTGAAAACTTTGTAAATTCATGCCTCTGCGCGAATTTCTTCTACCATTTTTTAAATTTAGCTCACTGTGCGAATTTGTCCTACCATTTTTTAAATTTTTGCTACTTTCCGAATTTTTCTGCGATTTTACGAAATTACTAATATTTAAATTTTTTTTTGGAAATTTATGCCAGTGTGTTTTTTAAAATTACTAAAATTAAATTTTTTTTTGTAAATTTTTGCTACGGTCCAAATTTTTCCTGCAATTTTCGATATTACTAAAATTTAATTTTTTTTTGTAAATTTTGGATATTTTAGTGATTTCGAAATCCTACCATTTTTTAAATTTATTCCATTGTGCGAATATGTCGTACCATTTTTTAAATTTCTGCTACGGTCCGAATTTTTCCTTCAGTTTTTTAAATTACTAAAATTTAACATTTTTGGAAATTTAAGTAATTTCGAAAACTTTGTAAATTTATGCCACTGTGCGAATTTGTCCTACCATTTTTTAAATTTAGCCCATAGTGCAAATTTGTCCTACCATTTTTTAAATTTTTGTGACTTTCCGAATTTTTCCGCCATTTTACAATTACATTTTTGGATATTTTAGTGATTTCGAAAACTTTGTAAATTTATGTCACTGCGCTAGATGTCCCAACATTTTTTAAGTTTTTGCTACGGTCCGAATTTTTCCTGCAATTTTCGAAATTTTAGTGATTTCGAAAACAGCCTCTGCGAGAATTTCTCCTACCATTTTTTAAATTTAGCCCACTGTGCAAATTTGTCCTACCATTTTTTAAATTTTTGCTGCGGTCCGAATTTTTCCTTCAATTTTCGAAATTACTAAAATTTAACATTTTTTGGAAATTTTATTAATTTCGAAAACTTTGGAAATTTATGCCACTGTGCGAATTTGTCCAACCATTTTTTAAATTTAGCCCACTGTGCAAATTTGACCTACCATTTTTTAAATTTTTGCTACTTTTCGAATTTTTCTGTCATTTTACGAAATTACTAATTTTTTTTTGGAAATTTTGGATATTTTAGTGATTTCGAATGGAAATGTATGCCACTGTCCTACCATTTTCTTAATTTAGCACACTATGCGAATTTGTCCTACCATTTTTTTAAATTTTTGCCACTGTTTTCGCCAATAACTTGGGAACGGTGAACTTTACGACAATAAAGGTTAAGTAATGATTTGTAGCTGAGGTACAAAAAAGGTCTGGAGGTACTTTTTCGTTAGAATTACCAATCGTGAGATTATAAGCCCTCTTAAAAATCACTTTAAAGAAAAAGTACCTTTTTTGTAGTCGCAATTCATTCCTTAACCTTCATTGTAGTAAAGTCTATCATAGTCGATAATATTGGCAAAAAATATAGAGGATATAGAATGCATTGGATTTTGAAATTTGTTGCAGAGGAACCCACGGTTACATGGCACCGGAAGTATTATCGAAAGGCACGGCGTACGACTCGAGCGCTGACTGGTTCAGCTTCGGGTGCATGCTGTACAAGCTGCTGAAGGGCCATTCGCCGTTTCGCCAGCACAAAACCAAAGATAAACACGAGATAGACAGGATGACGTTGACAATGGTAAGGCAGAACAGAATTTCTAAAGAGAGAAGTTCGCTACGATAAATACACAACAAGTTTTGTCGACTACAAAGTTTACGCGTTTGTTTGTTTGTTTCAGAACGTCGAATTGCCTGACACGTTCAGCAAAGAGTTAAAGTTATTATTAGAGGGATTACTGCTAAGGGATATTGAGAAAAGACTTGGATGCAAAGGAAATGGGTAAGTTCATTTATTATATGATATGTACATGTACATATAATTATTTTTAAATATTTTGCAAAAAACTATTTTTCATAAAGAAAAATCATATAAAAACTTAAAAATCAAATTTTTTTATGAACTTGTTTCATACTTTGCTGGTCACTGTATAACGCCTAATAAAAGATCAAATGTTTGTTTAATGTTCAAAAAATACTTCTATATTTGGATCTATATATTTACATAAGGAAATTTGCATGAAACCGAACGTTATGTTTATTCTTAAAATATATATTAGTTGTGGAGTTCTCGTCCATTTTTACCAATAAAAAAACATTACCAGTACTTTTGGACCAACAGACAACAGACACGTATTTTAATTTTTAATAGTTATAAAATGTTTTTTTAACGAATTTTACAAATAAAAAACCGTTACCAATAGCTATTAAAGTCCAGTTTTCTTGATAAAAGGATTGGATCTGCTAGCTTGATGTTTTTTTTAATTTGACCATAATATTCTAATTTACGGTTGTTTTTTATGGGTATTATGAAAAGTATATATGGGTGATTCTACAAAAGTTTGGCAACTTTTGACCTCATTTTGTTTATATAGTTTTCGGAAAAAATTAAACAGTATTTTGTTATGAGAACATAGATAATATAATAAATATACTGTTCCAGACCGGGCCACTCACTTTTTCAAACAGTTTCTGAAATATCTGTGTTTTCTAAATTTTAATGCAAGGGAAGTGACGGGGAGGGTACTAATTAAATACATAATTTATTGGAAAATATAAGATTTATTGCAACTTTAAGCATATTATACATTAAATATCTTAAAATCAAATAATACCACACATCAGTGGCGGCTGGTGGATTTTGGGTATACCGATATCTCAATTATTAGATATGGGACCCACACCAAATTTATATGAGTTTATAATGACATTAAATAAACAAGTTCTGCGCAAGCAGAATTTAAATTGAAGTTTGCGAAAAAAAGATAACCGAAACATCGAACATGGAACTGACGACACGGTACTGATGAATGGGATACAAATTTGAGATTATAATTCGGAATTAAGTATTTTACTGATATTTTTTATTAGTGGATGCTACTTATCAACAAATCACATATAGATATATATATATAAATTACAATGAAATATATACACGTAAGAAAATAACTACTCACCACAGTACTGAAATTTTTACTGGAACTATACGTGCATTCAGCACAACTTCGCCGCTTGCATAGTTTTAAAGATGACTGTCGTGAAAAGGGCGGGCTTTTTAGGTAATTTTTTACCAACACTTGAGTTAAAACGAGGACTTGACGTTTAAACTTCAATATTTCTCAGGAATTTTGAATTTTTACATTGGACACAGAACTGATGGGTAAAAGTGAGTACAAAGATTATCAATTTTTTAAAAATTGCCATTATTCGAATCTATGATAAAATATGAAAAATACATTATTTAATGTTTTATAGCTTGTGGTGAAATTGAAAAATTTAAGATAAATTGAATATATTTTAAAATAAAACCACTTAAATATTTGATTCAGGAGTTGTGACACGCCAAGGTACTGATGTTTTGAATATTTATTATGTTTTTTTCCAAACGTGCTTTTGAAAAAATACATTAAAATTGGGTGGACAAGTTAAAAAAAAACTGGATCTTTTGTAGTATACTAAAATATTTACAAAAAATATTAAAATACCTACTCTATTGACTGATGACATCAACTTTTGTAGAATCACCCATATTTTGGTAAAAACATTTTTTCTTTGAAGCGCTGACGAAGTCAAGGACCACGCGTTTTTCGCCGGCATCGACTGGCAACAGGTCTACCTCCAAAAGTACACGCCGCCTCTTATACCGCCCCGCGGGGAGGTGAACGCCGCCGATGCCTTCGATATCGGCTCCTTCGACGAGGAGGACACTAAAGGCATCAAGGTAAGAACATGTTTTCTTGTACCAAGGGTGCAAATACACTCACAGGCAAAATAATCGATCCACACAAATTTTCGATGAATTTCAATCGCAAGCAACTTTTTTATTTGATGTCGGATTTAAACGAATATTAAAGAATTTTGTAGATAAATTAATGGACAATCGGTCACATTTTAAAAAATTACTAAAAAATAGACGTACGTTTATAATATACAGGTTTAAACAAAAATATGTTTTTTACCATAAGTTTAAGACACTCTGTAGAGTGGCAAAACCGTATATTGTTCTAAATTAAGTTTTATTTATCAAGTCACATCCATTTTTAACAGTTTTGTTTTTGGTTCACCTTGATATATTTATTTTTGTGGAAAATATGGATTTTTTTAAAAAACATTGCAATTTCCAATATTTTTCCTGTATGAAGAACTAAGGTTGCTATGGTCCATCCATAGCCTATGGAGAATGACAGTGACAGTTTTGTTGAATTATCCCATACTTGGACATGCATATACAGCTTTCAAAAGCTATCAAATTGTTTTTTGTAAATTAATGTGTTAATTTTGAGGTGTCTTCTTACTTTTAAGTCTCCGACTGATGTTGCCCTTTATACTTTACTTCTTGTGACGTTTAAAACACTTGCCACGTAATACTGTGACCGTCCATCCTGGATTAAATTAATGGCCCTGGCAACATCAGTCGGGGACATATCCATTTTTTAAAGTAAGAAGACACCTCAAAATTTAAACATTAATTTGCAAAAAACAATTTGATAGCTTTTGAAAGCCGTGTATGACATGTCCAAGTATGGCATGATTCAACAAAACTGTCACTGTCATTCTCCATAGCCTATGGATGGACCATAGCAACCTTAGTTCTTCATACAGAAAAATATTGGAAATTGCAATGTTTTTTTAAAAAATCCATATTTTCCACAAAAATAAATATATCGAGGTGAACCAAAAACAAAACAGTTAATAATAGATGTGACTTGATAAATAAAACTTAATTTAGAACAATATACGGTTTTGCCACTCTACAGAGTGTCTTAAACTTATGGTAAAAAACATATTTTTGTTTAAACCTGTATATTATAAACGTACGTCTATTTTTTAGTATTTTTTTTTAAATGTGAGCGATTGTCCATTAATTTATCTACAATATTCTTTAATATTCGTTTAAATCCGACATGAAATAAAAAAGTTATTTGCGACTTTGGTGTCGCGCATGATTTCAAGACCACCTTTATGTTTTATTTTTTTAGTTGACTGATGCAGACCAAGATTTGTACAAAAATTTCCCTCTAGTGATATCGGAACGGTGGCAAAATGAAGTGGCCGAAACAGTATTTGAAACGATCAACTTCGAGGCTGACAAAACTGAGCACAAGAAGAAAGCGAAACAGAAAAAATTGTACGATTTGGACGAAAAAGGTAAGTTGTTTGTGTCCGGGAATATACGCAAAAGAAGTATCGCTAGTAGCGCCACCACTCGGCTGTTATCATCGTAACAAAAGTACAACTTTGGATAATCAGCTGTCAAACGCTTACGTTACAAACGAGTGTTTTTGAAAAACCGTGGCACGATTTGTTGTGTTGTTGGGTGTATTTCGAGAGGAAATCCTTACCTATAAGATACAATAAATACACATTTTAGTAGTGATTAACGTGAAAAGGGTAAACATTTCAATTCAGTAAAAATCTACAAACAAATAAGTCGTCTAAATTTAAACAGCATTTAGCATTATTAAAAGCGTTGATTAAGAAAGTCTCCACTTAACGATAAAATACCATTATATTATGTATTATATATAATATTATGTTGTCATGAATTCGTAGGTATATTTTGTTGTTTAAAATGCAGTTGTCGGCGTTTTTTAGAGAACTCAAACATAAAAATGGTTGATTTTAAGGTTATGTTTGTGCAAAAATTATTTTTTACTAATTTCTTAAAAATGTCCAAACTTAAATATAAATTATATTAGGTAAAGTTATCATTGGTTAATTCTGCACCAACAAATGTACTTACCGAATTGGATCCTTTGGCAAAACATGAAAATGCAACGATTTAATTCTTGAATTTTATTTACAATTAAAAACGCAATAATTCACCATGATCCCTTAGATAAAATACACACACTAACGTAACTATATAAGCATTTAAGCGTTGAGTTTCTTAATCAATGATATAAGGAATAATCAATCGAAATCGAGTACTAAACCAGTTTTTTAGTTTTTTCCTTGCAACGTAAAACACAAATAACGTGCGCGATTTAGCTGTGCAATTGAATAAAATTTGTTCTTTTGTGAACAATTCTTAAATTCACGCAATGCTATCGAAGTCCACCAGATGGCGCGCGCGTTGCTAAAACCCGATACTTCTTTAGCGTATTTCTAATATTTGTTTAACCTACACATTTTTCTGTCTGCTTTAGAATCGGACTGCATTTTGCACGGTTACATAAAAAAATTGGGCGGTCCGTGGTCGTCTAGCTGGCAGATGCGGTACGCAAAGTTGTACCCTAACCGGCTCGAGCTGCACCCGGATTCCGCAAAACCGGAAATGGTGTTCATGGACCAAGTGGAGGAAGTCAGCCCGGAACTCGTGCAAGTGAAAAACGAAAACTGCATAGTTGTCCGGATGAGGGACGGCAAAATCGTCCTGACCAATCCGGTAAGACAATTTAAGTATTTGTTACGTATATGGGACTATTGAAGAAACTTTAAAGTGTTTTACGACAGTCGCCGGTCTCTTTATATTACTCTTACATTACTAAGTTACGACTAAAGCGGGGAACAATTATTGAGTTCGAAAAAGGTAGCAAATATGTCACTAGCTATAAACCCTGCTACTATTTGGAACGTAGCTGCTACGTTACTAGAACGTTCCAATATCGTTGCTAGAGCGTTATAATTACTTTTATTTATTTGTTTTTACTTCTATATTAACTGTCTTTGTCAAACTTATATTAGATTATACTATCCCTCCTTTTTTAAATGGAACCACTACGGACTTGGCTTTTCAATGTCGTCGTTTATTAAATATGAACTGGTAGTTTATAACTTCCAGAATAACAATATAATGTTTAATTAGGCAGGTAAATTTATAAACCCTTTAAATTTTACTGTTGAACTTACGAATTTAGTTTTTGTAAAATAAATGCGCTTCATCAATATTTAAGTATAAACAAATTATTTATTTAATAATGTTTATAAATAAAAAATCTTAATTTTTATATAATTATAATACCGTCTATTACCAACAAAATTTATATTCATTAAAAAAGGAAACAACCATTTACAAACAATTAAAATAATTTATTATTTACATTACCACGTGGTACTGTACAGTAAAAAATGGCCGATAAGAAGCATTTTCCTTTGAAGTAGTTTTCGCAACTTTAAAGTTTTTTCCACCTTAATTTACTTCACGGTAGTTTTGGTTAGTACCATAAACGCTCCAAATACTAAAATAATAATTTTTAAGTTATTAACTTTGTAGTTTTGAACTCAAGTTCCAGTTTCGAGATTTTAACTTGCAAAGGGACTACAAAGTAAAAATAATTATAATGTAATATTTAGGTAGAAACCGAAAGTAACTGTTACAAATTAAATTTACTTGAAAGTTTTTTTTACTTATAATACCTTTTTAAAGTTGCAAAGTCTTCTTGGGGGCAACCAAGTTTTACTTTAATGTTTATTACTTTATATATAAAGTTTATAGTAACCATTTAAGGAAAGAATTAAGTTTCTGTTACAAAATATTGCTATTTAAAAGTTAGAATTACTTTTAAGTAAAAATTAAAGTAGCTGTTTAGTATACTTAACTAATTTAAAGTTATCAAATGCTGCTTTACATTTAACTGTTGTTTTCAGGACGAGATAGGCCTAAAAGAGTGGCTGCAGTCCCTGAAATCTGCGCACAAGTTGTCGCAAGAGCTTCTAGGGTCGATGGCAAAAAAGGCGGGTAAAATATACGGCACGGACTCGAACAATAAGAACGCGATCATAGCGACGCACCGTAACACGAATGGTAACTAAACAGAGAACTAAAAAAATCAATAAAAGAGACCCGAGTTTTTTTAAGTCTAAAGGCATAAACAAAAAAGGCTATAAATATGAAATTTTTAGTGGAGACTTCTAGAAAAGTGTAAATCAATGTATATTGTTTATTGTTCCTTCATTATGTTATCTATTTCAGATGAAATAACAATTTTTTTACCAGAAGTTATTGTAGACTGTATTAATTACTAAAAAAAAATAACATGACAAAGTATGTAAATTTAATGTATTATTGTTATTTATATTATTTATAAAGTAGTTTTTGCTTCGAATAAAAAAGTACTATATGTATGGTAGATTTTGACATTTGCGTTATAGCTGTTCTGTGAATTTTATTTAATAATAGTTCACCCAAAAATTTACAAAATATTTTTTTTCATCATAAAATAAACATTCCTTAATCCATAATTAATAACAGGGTCAAAAGTTTTCAAATTTTAAAAATTATAAAATTTTTGAGAATTTGTCCCACCATTTTTTATATTTAAAGCACTGCGAATTTTTCCCACAATTTTTTAATTTTGAACTACAATGCGAATTTTGAACTACAATTTTAAATTTATACCTATGTGGGAAAAACTGTCAAAAAAATTAAAAGTTTTAAAATTCATTTAAAAATTATTGAAAATTTTGTCAATTTTGAAAATTTTTATTAAAATCCTAAAAATTTTAAAAATTTGTCCCACCATTTTTAAATTTATACCCCTGTGCAAAAAACAGTGTCAAAAAAATTTTGGAATTTTTTCTATTTTAAAAATTTTCAATATCTTAAAAATAAAAAAAAAATTCCCACAATTTTTTATATTTATATTACTATGCTAATTTTTCCCACAATTTTTTGATTTTTAACTTCTGTGAGAATTTGTTCTACTAATTTTAAATTTATCCCTCTGTGCGAAAAACACTGTGGCAGAAGCATTTCTCCCTACAAATTATTTTTTTTTAAATTTACAAAATTTAAAAAAAAATCAAATTTTAAAATTTCGTAAATCTTGAAGATTTTAAAAATTCCGAAAATCTTACAAAAACTTGAAAATTTACAAAAACTTGAAAATTTACAAAAAATTTATCCCTCTGTGCAAAAAACAGCATGGCAGAAGCATTTCTCCTTCCAAATTATTCTTTTTTAATTTCAAAATTCTTAAAAAATTCAAATTTTAAAATGTTGGTAAAATTTCGTAAATCTTGAAGATTTGAAAAATTCCGAAAATCTTTTTGAAAATTTCTCCCAAATTTTTTAAATTTAAACTACTGTGCGAATTTTTCCCCCAATTTTTTGATTTTGAACTACTGTGCTTATTTTGTTCTACCAATTTTAAATTTATCCCTCGGTGTGAAAAACAGTGTGGCAATTCTCCTTCCAAATTAATTTTTTTGGAAATTTTAAATTCTGAAAATCTTTTTGAAAATTTGTCCCACATTTTTTAAATATATACTACTGTGCGAATTTTTCCCACAATTTTTTTATTTTGAACCACTGCGAATTTCTCCTACTTTTATTTAAAATTATCCCACTGTGCAAATTTTTCCGACCATTTTTTAATTTCATCCCACTGTGCGAGTTTGTCTTGCCTACAGGTAACTGTAATTTTTACTTTGGACGCTACCCACTAGATGGCGAGTTGAAAATGCACTGTTGCTATTCCTAAAAACGTTTTTTTCGTAGTTTTTCTTACACGGTATCTAAATTTAGAGTTTTTTTAATATTTTAGTTTTTATTTTAATACGGACATTTCAAAAGATTTAAGCTAGTTCTTTTTTTGGTTATAAAAGTTGACTAATATTTGTAAACCTGTCCAGCAACTTCTACTAGTCAAATTATTCGTCATAAATTTTTAATATCTAGTCAAATAAAATCAAAATACTTTTCAAACTTCACAGAACAGCATTTTTTTAGTATATCTTTAAAAATGTAAATTAGTTTTGCAAAAATTCGGACATCTTCGAAGAATGACCGAAATTTTTCGAAACTCCCTGTATATTTCCAAACAACAAGTTTGTCTCACTGGTACCAACACCAAGCTAATAAAAAAGTCAATAGAATAGCTTCTGTCCGCCAGTAAATATATTATATTGAATTTGTTTAAAAAGGTGGGTATAATGCTTGAAATTATGTATGTTGGAAACAAATTATATCCAAAAAACTATTAAATTAATTTAAAAAGGAAAAAACAGAAAATTTTTTCTGGTACCTATTTAAACCTTCCTTTTTAATCAAATTTTTGTAAATAAAGCTTTGTATTTTAATTCGATTTGGTTAGAAAAACTGGTGGTTTAATAATTAAGCTACACTTAACAATAATTTTCAACAAATATTACATACAGTGTATTTTAAATGTTAGGCCACAGTTTTGATGCAGAAATAAACTACCCAACCTAGAAATTCTAAATGATTTGTAAATTTTTGTATATACTGAATTTAATTAAAATTGCATGTTTTTAGAGAACATTTTCTTCACATTTCCATACATCCCACTTCAATGTTTTCATTATTTTGTCAATTTTAATATAAGTATCTAGGAAATAACAAATAAAGAAAATGATAGTAAATCCCATAAAATAAATTAATATGATAAAGTTCGTTTTTTTATTTAAAAAAAATACAGTATTAAAATCAAAAATATTAAAGATATTTAAAAAACAAAAAGGTTAAATATAAACTACAAAAAATAAAGCCAAATTATATATCATACAGTTATTGTATTGTAAAAACTATTTACCATTTAATTTTGATACGCGGTTACTAGGTTAAATAATTTACAGGGCATATCAAAAATAAAGTACAAAAATCAAAAATAAAATAAAAAGGATTGTGCTTTATAATTTTGAGGCTTCTGTAAAGGTGTTAATGATTTTTAAAACAATACTTACTGCCTATACAATTGGTTGATACAGGTTGGAATATTTTTGTAGTGAAAATACCTAAAATCTGACAAAAATGATGGTACTAAAATTTGGTCTATCTAGATTTTGGGTAAATTCACCAAGTTTGATAAAATAACTACTGAAAAAATAAAAATAAAACATTTGGGAACAAATTTAGGGTTTAGCTTCTTGAAATTTGCCACTCTGCTTTCTATAGAAAATTATCCCTATAGAAAGCAATAACCTCCTTATTTAGTCTTCTTGGGTGGAGAGTACCAACATAAAATAATATGTGGCATTAAAAGTTTGTTCCAACAGTGTTTTTTGCAACAAAGTGCTTTTATTTTTTAAAGTTGTTTTGATTCACGATTTGGGTATTCGCAACTTATACAGGGCGATTTCAAAATTCTGTCATATGATTACACGACCTAGAGAGCTTTAATATAAAAATATTTTTTTGGTAATCCTTTGTTAGAGAAAATTATGTATACCTTCATAGATTTTAAACCTATGTTCATCTATTTCTAACTTTATATAAAAAGAACAATCAATAGTTTTGATGTTATAGGACTGCAATGTATAGTTTTCGTGTTTTTAGTATGTGATTTTTTATAAAAAATAAAAAATTATTACTATACATTAAGGTGTATATTTTTTTGGTGGTACAGTCGTTGACTTATGTACATTTGTCAACGACTGTACCTCTAAAATAGTTATTGTTAGGTTTTTGGCCAAAATTACTTATCAAACTTAATTAAACAAACATTTTCAAACAGCAATAATGTGAAAGTTATATTTTTATACAGGATGTTTTTGTAAAAAATTGAGTTGGTTTGTGCATTTTGGTACACACTTTTAAATGATAATTTGATGGTATGATATATTTCTCTACAAGATGCGCAGTAAGTACTGCGCAATGTTGGAAAAACAAATGACATTTTGTTCCTTCCTGTTTATAAAACTTGGGGAAAGACGAAGAATATGGTGAAGTTGGTAAAATAAATATAAGATGGTTATATCTTAACTAGTACATATAAATGTTGTGTTAGAATCTAAATTTAATAGGCATTTTTTTTAATTGCTTAATATTTTTGATTTTGTTTTGACCATCTACAGTTCTAGAAAAATAATAAATAAAAAACTTTAGAGTAGAAAGACATTTTTGTTATATTTTGAGCCTCAAATTTAACAAAAAGTCTTAATCTAGAATGTGAAGTAAATGTTGTAATTCTAATAACTAAATTTTAAAGATGTAGAATTTAATTTATGGAAAGTGGACAATCAGAAGGAAACTAGAGATGTTTATGATATAACAAAAACACAATTAATAAAAATTTTATTTTTTTTACAAAAAAAATCTCTGGAGGAAAGTGATACATTGAAGGCTGATACAGACATAACAATTATTTTCTCTGCCAAAAATTTGTACAATCCAACTCAGTTTTACGATTCTCGACTGTTTTTTTCAGTTTTTATATTATATTATACAGGGTCTTACAGGTTTTATATATACTTTTTTTTATATCTTGCTTTGTTTAAAAGTTATACAAAAAAATATGTACAATTTCAGACCATTTTAGGTTCTTAGGAATAAAAAGTACCAAAACCTGGGACTCCCTCTATGCATAGAACCCAAAAGCTTTTGTATAGTAATTATTTACAATATATAGATATTTATTACTTCTTTAAGTTTAATGTTTAAGTTTTTAGTTGTCAATGTTGTACATATTGCATTAAAGTCATGTTTATAGACTCGTGCCGCAGTTTTATTTCATAGAGTTTGTATTTTATGCAGGATTTCCGCCAGTTTTTCGTCGGCATTTTGACCATGCAATTTTCTTGAAAGGATTTGAAAATCTGCTGTTTCAATCTAAAAAAAAATCTTTTCGAAAATTCAGGAGTCGATAAAGAAGATTACAGTTTACCTCATGACAAGGATCCATTTTTCTACCGGGCAACTGTGCGCAGTACTCAGGGGCGAGTATGCGTTCGCAAAGAGCAGAAATACCGCAAAATGTTTTAAAGTCAAACTCATTATCGTCCCTCCAATTAAGAATGTCTCTTATATAGTCACTCTGCTCTTTTGACATTGGCTTTCCCATCATTAGATTTAAGGCATCTTGAAGAACCTTGAATTTAAGAATTGCCAACAATACATTTAAAGCATACGAACTGTATACATCATTTTTAAATAAATAGGTAGTTTTTTCACAAAAGAGTCTTACTCGATTATTCTTTATATCATTGATTAAGAAACTCAACGCTTAAATGCTTATATAGTTACGTTAGTGTGTGTATTTTATCTAAGGGATCATGGTGAATTATTGTGTTTTTAATTGTAAATAAAATTCAAGAACTAAATCGTTGCATTTTCATGTTTTGTCAAAGGATCCAATTCGGTAAGTATATTTGTTGGTGCAGAATTAACGAATGATAACTTTACCTAATATAATTTATATTTAAGTTGGACATTTTTAAGAAATTAGTAAAAAATAATTTTTGCACAAACATAACCTTAAAATCAACAATTTTTATATTTGAGGTGTCTAAAAAACGCCGACAACTGCATTTTAAACAACAAATTATACCTAAGAATTCATGACAACATAAAATTATATATAATACATAATATAATGGTATTCTACCGTTGAGTGGAGACTTTCTTAATAATGCTAAATGCTGTTTAAATTTAGACGACTTATTTGTTTGACGATTTTTACTGAATTGAAATGTTTACACTTTTCACGTTAATCACTACTAAAATGTGTATTTATTGCATCTAATAGATACAATTTTTATTTACAGGGACTGTATGAAATTTATTTCTTCATTCGGATTAACACTGTTTATTGGAAAACCGATAAAAACTCAACCCAGGATTTCCTCTCGAAATACACCCAACAACACAACAAATCGAGCCACGGTTTTTTTTTCGATATTTTTTAATATTTTCCGGCTTTATTCTCAAAAACACTCCTTTGTGACATAAGCGTTTGACAGCTGATTATCAAAAGTTGTACTTTGTTACTTATTTGGTAACCTTTAAACTAACCTTTCCAGATATTTTTCTATCCAATTCATTATCCAGATCATTTTCATCTCTAAATCTAGTAAAAACACAGTTGTATAAGAGCTTTCTGGAGCTAGAAAGGAATATGTGATTCTTGACATAGTCCATTGGGGTCATATCTTAAAAAAAAGTATTAATATTTGTTTTAATTAATAGAATAATGCAGGGCTGCCCAACATGGAAATAAAACAGCCCTGGTATAATGCATATTCTTCTTACAGCTCAAAGAATCGTTGTCCATAGGCAACTCAAACCTAGCGCTAGACCTGGTGAAAATTCTGGGCAATGAAATCCAAAGGTCTGCGTTTACTGGCGGTACTTTCAGCTCATCTTGTAAACAGGCTAACTCTTTGCAAACCGCCTTATCTTTCGATACGGTTTTTAGAGCTTCCGTTAGAGCTTTCCTCCTCTGAAAAACAACATTATCCACAAGACGATTGGTGGAGAAAAATTGCTACCTTATCGTTAAACTCGTTGTCGACGTACTCCTCATTGAGCTCTCTTCTAAGATGTTTGAGTATTTCGGTGGTTAGAAACGAGTCAACGTCCAAGCTTTTGGACGGTTTTAGGGGAGGTTTTTCTTTTATTAAGTCTTGGGTTTCATCTTGGTGGTCGTGACCGGGTATCAAAGACGGTCTAGCGCTTGTAGCTCTAGATTCGTCTCCACAAGCTCCTACTTGCGTCTCTGGGTCCAGAGAAACCTACGTTGATAGAAACAGTCCGCCAAAATTAGTGTTACGGTGATATTAAATTTGTCTTTTAACCTGGAAAGCTGGAGGACCTCTGGAGGCATCACTTCCACGTTTGCGCCTCTTTTTACCACGTCTTTTGACTATGTTGTCATCCTCTTCATCGAGTGAAGGTGCTGCCTCTTCTGACTTGACTGGTTCAGAAGGAATTTCCTAAAAACCGAAACATTATACTGTTAATATGTATCGATCGGGTGCCCCCTAATAACACTATGATAGTTTAACAAAAATGTCTTCTAGCAATGAATCTAACTTCTTTCCGCTATACCCATAGATATCTACCAATGCTCTAGATTTGCAGTTACTTGGTGAAATCGTTCTCCATGTTCATCAGTTAGGAAAATTTATCAGGATGAAAAAAAAAAGAAAATGTCTTTTAACTGACATATTAACGCTAATTCTTTGCAAAACGGAAAGCATTTGTTCAATGAATTGGCGCCAATTTTAGGCCCGATATGAACCAAGAACATTTTCAATGACAGCTTTAACACTGCCATATGAGACAAGCTCGTCAACTTTGAGAGCATTTTTGAATGCTTGATCTTTCCTTAAACGTCGTTATCAGGTCCATTTAATATTCCTGAAAAATAAAAGTAGTAGGTATATCTCACAAAATTTTATAATGAAATATTGCGTTGGTTTTTCTTGGGCGTAAAGGTACCGCAACAAAAACAAAACAAATTATAACGACGACATAAATGTTCGTCTCCTTTCTCTTTCTCTGTCACTTCTATTTCCTGCTCTGTTTTCATTTTTGGTTCTTAAAATTACTTTCAAGTAAAAATACAATTTAAAGTTTAAATTTTAAATGTCAATAATTAATAGTGTGCTGAACGATAAAGGCGCCTTTATACTTCAATTCGATATTAAATTTTGATAAGACTTAATAAATATGATTCGAGATTAAATAATAAATAAAAACATATCAAATAATAGTCGAAGAGTAATGCTTATACCGAAACCCATTTACTTTGTTGCCTATTCAATTTAATTAGTAATTAAAAAACGACACAAAAATTTCAAAAATGATACTTTTTACCAAAAAACATTATAATTTTAGTTTTGGTATTTAATAAAGCACTTCTCTGCAGAAAAGTGCTTTATTAAATATCCCTTATATAAATTTATATATATATATAGTTTAAACTACTATAGTTTACGGCTACAATGGAACAAACAAATTTTCTATTTGACATTTATCTACAGATGACTTTGAATGGAGTCCCTGTATATTTTTGACAAAAACCGTCAAAAATATACTGAACATAGATTTAAGGCAAAATAATTTAATAAATAATCAAAATATTAACAAAAAACTTACATTTTGAGATAATTGGGCAGAGCATTTTATTACGCAATTATTTCGAATCTTAGACGTCCTGGAGCAAAACGAGTGGCATTTTTGAAATCAGCAGCCCAAAACTAGGTAATATAGGTGGGCGTACTCAATGTTAGTAAATCGAACTATCATAGTGTAATTAACCACTCATTATAATATTTGTGACCTTAGCTAATAATACTGTCTACTCTCCAACTCCAAATAGTAATCCCAAATGTTTGGAGTAATACTAATCGACTGGTCTAGGGGGATTCCGCATCGTACTTAGTTTTAAGTCGGCGTAATTGTCCAACAAAAACCAACAAGTGTCTATCCCTCCCGTCCCTCCTCCTGTATACCCTACTGGGCGTATAGCATCGGCTCGGCGAACCTGAGAATGACTATTAAAACTATGTTGCTCTCGAGTCCCAAATAGGGGACAGTAAGGAACGCAATGGACATTCGCACCCAGCAAACACGGGTGAAGCCGTGCAGTTGCTGGAGGCGAACAAAAATCGACGTAAGTAAACATAGGCCTGTACTGGGTCCGGGAGTGATGAGGCAATGGGGCTGGTTATACGTCTCTTATACTCATACTCATACTTAGATTATAATACTGTCTAATATCTACCGTCTTATGTAGATTTTCTACACGCTCTTTTTAATGTACCGTGGCCGAAACGGAATTTTGAACGACTACCATCCCGTTGACATCAAAATCAAAACTTTCTTTATGGACAACTTACATTACTTTCGGTTATCACTAGTATTGTAATTTTGACAGCAAAAGAAAAAATGCTCAATATTATATCTTTGCTATTTACAGATGTATACATTGATAACCAAGTTATGTCGTTCAAAATTCCGTGTCGGCCACTGTACATTAAAAAGAGCGTGTAGAAAATCTACATAAGACGGTAGATATTACGTAATAATAGTCTGTTGGTATAAGGTTCGTGCGGGAAGAACTTACCTTGTTTGTCCCATTCTTTTTCGGACTTTTGGGTCTTCCGGCCACAAAAGGAGCTCGTAGACTTTGACATTGCACCTCCGAAGTCTGGACTTCATCTAAACTCGCCGCTCTAGTCTGAACATGTTGGATCCTTATCAATGGGGGTTCCAGTATTGATGAGCTACCATAGAACGACAAAGTTTCCTGTAAAACTTTATCAAAACATGTTTTTTTTAATTGTTTTTATTTACCTGGCTATGACTTCTACGTAGATCCAGCACCAACAGGGTCTTTTCTCTTATTTGGGTTGTGGGTGTAGGGTCTGGTGTGACACATTTTCTTGACCCTGAGGCCCTAGTGCCACTTGCTAAGGTTGGGGCTGGAGTCAAGGGTCTAGAGTCGGTTTCAGTATATCTACAGTACAGGGAATATGACATAGTTTCATGCCTTAATATTATAGAACATTATAGAACCTTTGCGGTTGTGTTTGCTGGGATATGATCAAAAATAAACATACCGTCTAAATAGCTCCTCTGGAACACTTTCTATGGTGGGAATCTTTTGATTTCTGGCACTTAAGGCAGCTTGGTTTACTTGCAGCTGTTCTAAACTTGCTCTAATAGCTTCGATTTCTTCTGTTAATAGAACATTTTTTCCTTCCACTCCCTATAAGTCAGATTGTTTTAACATACACAATATTGTATGTGAAATGCACGCTAGTAGAAAAATAAGTATTACCCAAGTATCCTTGGCTTTCTTCAACAACTCCTTAGCCTCGGTATCCGTTGGATGATTGCATAGCAAAGAACATCCGTACGGATATGGATTAAAAAGTCCTGCGAACGGTTTTAGTATGAATGGTGCCGGCTTCGCTATGGCGCGCAATTGTACGGGGTTTCTCTTGAAAATTTGTGAAATAAATATCGATTACATTGGTTTAAATTTAACTTACCCTTGCCTGTTTACGAATTTTTTTCGTTGGACTTGCTAGAAGACCTGTTTTACTGCTGATATCCATGGTCAAAATGATGATGTGGTTGAAATTATCGATAAAACATTTTTAGTAACAGCTGGGGGTGTACACCATTAAAAAAGAATTACTTTATAATTTGATAGTTTTTTTATTTCGATTTTGTAAATATCATATAATTCATATATTTATTTCTCGGATTCCTCATCCCTTTTCTGGATTCTGAAGGAAACTACTAATTTCTTGGTCTGACTTCTGAAATAGTTTGTTGCAAATATCATTAAGTGTGGTATCTCTAGTTTGTGAAGCATTTATAATGTTTAGGCCGGAACAGGATGATTTATATATATCTAATATTTTTTCGGGTGGTACGTTAAAAGTATTTTCCGAATTTATTAATTTTGTTGCCATTAGTTTTTATGTTCTCTATCATGCACTGTATTTAAATCACTGTTATTCTGCAAGATTTCCTGTGACGAAGAAATCACTATATTACTTACTCTCTAAAAATTAATTAGTCAAAAATGTCATAGCGAAAAAGCAGCCACTAATAATTCTCGTCAACAGCGATTTGTATCCAGGACATTTAGCAATCAATTCCTATGAAAAATTATTCGCTGAATCCGAAAATGTCGTCAAAAGTTATAAAAGTAGGAGAGTTTTTGAAATATAATCAATTTTACATATAATATGGAATTGACTATATCTCAAAAACTGCTCAACTTTTATAGTTTTTGACGGTCTTTTCGGATTCAGGGGACAATTTTACATAAGAATTGGCTGGTAAATGTCCGGGATACAAATAGAGTATGATATTATGTCCAATAATAGAAATTTACATTTTTTACCAACCAGTAATTGGACACTGGTCATTTTACTGTTTGTTTTCAGAATTAAAATTAAAACGCATTAAAGTGACAATGTTTAAACTATGAGGAACACATTTATACCACACACTGATCTTTACACTTTTTAGAAATATTTTTATTGTAATTTAAACACAGCCCTGCTCTTAACAAAAAAACAAAAATCTTACCACCAAAAAATCATTGACATTGATTCTGACACTGACTGTCAAAATGGAAGAGTCGGATATCTTAAAGGAAATATTTTCTTTGGCAAGAAATAGCAGTTACTACAAAACATCCAAGGTAAAAAATAATAATTTGAATGTGAAAAATTATACCTAATAAATATAAAAATTATGTAATTTTAGAATGTTGAAAAAGCCAACAATAATGATTTTAAACAACAAAAAGCAGAAGAAAATATAATTTTTAACAAAATACACAACATAATTGAACTGGAAAATAAAACTGAATCGAACGTTTTATCATTTTTAAAATACAAATTTTTAAATCAACAAATTTATATTTGGGCTGGACAAGCTTTATTAGCGATTCACCCCTATGAACAATTTGATTTTACAAAGGTTAGATTATTTCAGTAAATTGTGTTTTTTTAAATTAATAGGGTAAAGTAGACAGTTATCGGACACTTTATAGTTATTGGGCAATTAACATTATACTGTAAAAACAAGAGTTCTATAAATAGTTACCTTAAAGTCAAATCATAAGATGGCGCTGTATACAATTATTACTATCTCAGTCGGTAATAATATATAACTACTTTTTTTTGTTTTTGAATAATTCATTTTTATAGTAATATAGTGATTTCTTTGTCACAGGACATCTTGCAGAATAACAGTGATTTAAATACAGTGCATGACAGAGAACATAAAAAACTAATGGCAACAAAATTTATAAATTCGGAAAATACTTTTAACATACCACCCGAAAAAATATTAGATATATATATATATATATATATTTCAGAAGTCAGACCAAGGAATTAGTAGTTCAGAATCCAAAAAAGGGATGAGGAATCCGAAAAAGAAATATATGAATTATATGAAATTTACAAAACGAAATAAAAAAAATTACCTAAAACAGCAATTTATCTTTAAAAAATATTTAACAATTTATGTTATTTGATGTAAAGTTGTTATGTTTATATAAAAATTGTTTGTCCAATAACTATGGTCCATGTGTCCAATTATTATATAAAATATCCAATTACTATACTTTTTTTATAAAACTATTATTAAAAATTGAAATATTCTTATTTTTAAATAAACGCCATAAAGTCACAGCTCGTCAATGTAGAAGTAGATCAAACTTTTTAAAATTGACAATTCAAATTTCGTACTTAAGAAACAAAAATATTACAGTTTTAAGGCTTAATTTTGCATTTTCTGTTGTTTTTAGTCTTTCTTCTTATTCAAATAGAGATACTACCTTAAGGCTTAAACTTTACATTTTTTTTTAGAAAGATTCTCTGAAAGAGGTACCCAGCATAAAACAGATAATTTTAAACGCGATTTTTAACTTGGAAAATAATATTGGCCGACCGGATCAATGCGTTATAATATCAGGAGATAGCGGATCAGGAAAAACATTTTCAGCTTGTTTGGCCATAAATTATGTGGCACAGTATAACAAGAGAAGTGGTGAAAATAATTTAATTTGGCAAGCTTGGTCTTCGGTACCATTATTGGCAGCTTTTGGTAAAAATTTAAAAATACATTCCTTTAAAAACATTTATTACCAAGTCTTAGTCACAAATTTAATTTAGGCACCAGCGAGCTTGCGAGCAAGTGCATAATTAAATGAGTGTCTAGAAAACCTCATTAAAAATTCTTTTATTAAACCAATAATTTAAAACTATTCCCGGTGCATCCGCCAAATTTGCAACTTTGTACATCTTCGTTATTTTTAATACTTAAACTAAACTAAAATATATTTTTGTAGGGAATGCTCCAACAATCCACAACTCGAACAGTTCCAGATTTGGAAAGTTAATTCAAATGCAGTTTAATGAAGAAAAAATTGTGGGAACTTTTCTAAAAGTTTATTTACTGGAAAAATCTAGGGTTTCAGGTCCTAATAGAGGGGAAGGGAATTTCCATATATTCACACAAGTACATACAGGGTGTTCCAAAACTCGCGTCACAGAGTTTCGGGTGTTACATTTGTTCAACCTTATTTTCTACGTTTTTAGATGTTCTATCTAAATTGTAAAATTATAACAGTTTAGCATATAGGATAACGATTTTATAAGTCGTGTGCGTTTCGGGTGTTTCACGATTCTGCCTCTATGTCCTGACCATTGTTACATTTATTTGAATTCAGCGAATTTTCTTAGGGAAACATTCCTAAAAATTACAGGCCTCCAAAAGTATAATATTTACTAACCATCCACCACATAATCACTGTCACAAATAACGTTTTACTATTTTTTTTTTATAAAATTTTACTTTGTTTCGGGTGTTACCATGGTTCTGTTTCGGGTGTTACAAGTACAAAAATTAAACACTTTATATGGACAAAATCGATGTTTTATTAGTCTCTAGGTACTACAAAATAAGTTAGTAGCAAATAAACATAACTTAAGCAGCTTCGGGTGCGATTGATAAATCGACAAAACGGGTAAAATCGTTATTATTGACAAAAATCGGTAGAAACATAATTATTGACGAAAATCTAAGTATTCGGTATTTTGGTAGGTCCGTTGCCATTTAGATAGAAATACCGAAATTTCGGTAGGTTCGACAACACCATCGGAAAAGCAGTCACACCTCTTTAAAAGAGGTGTGACTGCTTTTCCGATGGCGGCGCTAGTGGGCCGTCGAAAGAGCCTTAAAAATAATACTTATTGCATTCTTACACACACATATATCGACATATGAAAAAAGTTGTAACGCCCGAAACGTTTCGGGTGTTACAGTTTTTAATCAAGAAAAACACATATCAAATTAGTCTCATGCTCAGAAATTAGTTGGTATTTTAACCATTACCACCATAACGTTACTTTTACTAAATATTATTTCAATAATCAATATGTAAGGTATAATAATAAAACAATTACATGATTTTTCGTTTCGGGTGTTACAGTGGCAAAGTAAGAAGAAATCACACGTATAACGTGATAATTATCAATTTTTTCGGGACTGTGACGCAATCCACCAATACTCCGATAAATAATCTCAAATCACAACGTGGCAAAACGGTTGACAGATTGACAGTTTTTTTTCGTATTTCCAATAGTTAGAGGCACAATGGTCATTCAGCCAGTTCACTTGAGTACAGATTTTGAAGACCAATTAACTTAAAAATTACGCGTTTCTTCTAATTTTTTTTGTCGCACATTATAATTTGGAAAGTTTTCTTTTAAAATCCATCAGATTTAATGCGAAAAGAACATATTTATTTTTTCACACTCAGTATCGTTTGTCATGGAATTACTCTTAACGTATTAGAACAGAGAAAAATAAAGAAGCAAATAGTAGGAAGAGCATAAGGGAAGTTTTTCTCTGTGGCGCGAGTTCTGAGACCCTGTATTTCGTAATTATTATTATTAATCGAAAATTAAAAATTAATTACAGATATTAGAAAACTACGATACAGAAACGCTAAAGAAGATTTACCTAGATAAAAATACAGTGTATAAAATAGCTCCAAAATATAAAATTCAATCAAGTTGGCTTCACAACGAATCCCTAAAATCAATGAGCACTCTTGGGATAGAAAATGTACAAGAAATCCTTAAAATTCTCTCAATAATTTTGAATCTAGGCAATGTGGAGTTTAAAGAGACCGATCAAGGTTATAAAGTCGCTGAAAATTCAATAATCTACTTCCAAAATGTTTGTAAATTGTTGGCGTGTAACGAGACTGAGTTGTTCAATTTGTTCACCAAAAGACTGTTGGCGGCAAAATCAAAAAGGTGCACCTTTTGCTTCTCGAACTGCGTAACTCTGGAAGAATGCGAAGAACGGAAGAACACGATCATGAGGTTCCTATACGACGGACTCTTTAACTGGATCGTGAAAAAAATCAACGATAAAACTCGTTCGAAGATTAAATGCAGTAATATTGGTGAGGACCTTAGACTAAACACCGCGTAGATAGAGCAATTCATTTTTATTTTCAGGTATTTTGGATATATACGGTTTTGAAATATTCTCAAGCAACACGTTCGAGCAACTCTGTATAAATTACGCTAACGAACGATTGCACGAATTCTTCGTGAAAAACTACATTGAAAAAGAGCTTGAAGATTTTGAAAATAAGGAAAACTCGCCCACAATTAATAATTACAAGCAAAGAATAGAAATACTGGATGGGCCTGTATCAATTTTCGGGATTTTGAATGAAGTATATAGCTTATATACTGCCCCAGTCAACCAAGGCGAGATGTAAGAACTTTCGTGATTGCCGCAATCGGTACATACTATGCAACCAAGAATGCACGGCAAATTGTATCACAGATTCTGTATGGCCTAAAGGAATCTAGAATTTTTTTAAGGCCATATACACTCACGTGCAAAATAATCGATCCACACAAATGATGAATTTCAATCGCAAATAACTTTTTTATTTGATGTCGGATTTAAACGAATATTAAAGAATATTGTAGATAAATTAATGGACAACGCTCACATTTAAAAAAAATAGACGTACGTTTATAATATACAGGTTTAAACAAAAATATGTTTTTTACCATAAGTTTAAGACACTCTGTAGATTGGCAAAACCGTATATTGTTCTAAATTAAGTTTTATTTATCAAGTCACATCTATTCTTAACAGTTTTGTTTTTGGTTCACCTCGATATATTTATTTTTGTGGAAAATATGAATTTTTATAAAAAACATTGCAATTTCCAATATTTTTCTGTATGAAGAACTAAGGTTGCTATGGTCCATCCATGGGCTATGGAGAATGACAGTGGCAGTTTTGTTGAATCATCCCATACTTGGACATGTCATACACGGCTTTCACAAGCTATCAAATTGTTTTTTGCAAATTAATGTTTAAATTTTGAGGTGTCTTCTTAATTTATAAAATGGATTATGTCTCCGACTGATGTTGCCAGAGCTATTAATTTAATCCAGGATGGACGGTCACAGTATTACGTGGCAAGTGTATTAAACGTCATAAGAAGTAAAGTACATCAGTCGGAGACATTTTTAAAAGTAAGAAGACACCTCAAAATTAACACATTAATTTACAAAAAACAATTTGATAGCTTTTGAAAGCTGTATATGACATGTCCAAGTATGGGATGATTCAACAAAACTGTCACTGTCATTCTCCATAGGCTATGGATGGACCATAGCAACCTTAGTTCTTCATACAGGAAAAATATTGGAAATTGCAATGTTTTTAAAAAAAATTCATATTTTCCACGAAAATAAATATATCGAGGTGAACCAAAAACAAAACTGTTAAGAATAGATGCGACTTGATAAATAAAACTTAATTTAGAACAATATACGGTTTTGCCACTCTACAGAGTGTCTTAAACTTATGGTAAAAAACATATTTTTGTATAAACCTGTATATCATAAACGTACGTCTATTTTTTAGTATTTTTTTAAAATGTGAGCGATTGTCTACAATATTCTTTAATATTCGTTTAAATCAGACATCAAATAAAAAAGTTATTTGCGATTGAAATTCATCGAAAATTTGTGTGGATCGATTATTTTGCACGTGAGTGTATTATCTGTGATACAATTTGCCGTGTATTCTTGGTTGCATAGTATGTACCGATTGCGGCAATGTGATGTTCTTACATCTCGCCTAGGTTGACTTACGTGGACGGTATATAAGCTCAGGTAGTATTTTGTTTTGGGTGTGTTTCACTTCACCAAGTTGCCCAACACTGATGAGACCCAATAAACATAGGTTGAATCAGGTGTCTGTCTATATTGCCGGTCACTGTATTTATATATATTTTTTAATCAAATTTACAATTTGTATTTTTTAGGAATGCGTGTTGAAGCGTTTTAACTCTGATCATGATGTTGCTCTTCGTTTAAACAACACTTTAAGGCGATGTAAAAATTTTAGAAGAGTTAAATATCAAAATGTCACGACTTTTTCGATTTTACATTACACAGGTTTTGTGGAGTACGACTGCAAAAATATGCTGGAAAAAAATCGGGATAAAGTCCCAGATGAAATTTTTGCGTTTTTGAACAATTGCAGATTTGGTTTTGTTGGTGAAATAATACATAAAGGCGTTAACGATAAAAATAATACTTTGCTGTCAAAATTCAAGGTAATTTTTTTGAAAACAATATAATTAATTTGTTTGTCAATTTTTTTAAGAAATCTTTGGACTACTTGTTATCAACCCTGGAAAGTTGCGATGCCCACTACATAAAATGTTTAAAACCGAATTTAGAGAGAATTCCTGGTTATTTTGACGACATTCTTTTTAAATCCCAGCTTAATAACAATGGAATTTTGGATATATTAAAATTAGAAAGGCAAAATTTCTCCATAAAGTAAAAAAAATCATCTTCATCAGCTAATATTTATTAAAATTGTTTTGTTTTAGGCTTACCCATCAACATCTTTACCAAAATCATTTAACTGAAATTTTAAATATTTTAAACAAGGTAAGTTTCCAAACTATGTAAGTAAAAATTTTATTGAGTTTTCAAAAAATGGTTGATTTTAAGGTTATGTTTGCGCAAAAATTAGTTTTTACTAATTTCTTAAAAATGTCCAAACTTAAATATAAATTATATTAGGTTAAGTTATCATTAGTTAATTCTGCACCAACAAATGTACTTACCGAATTGGATCCTTTGTCAAAACATGAAAATGCAACGATTTAGTTCTTGAATTTTATTTACAATTAAAAGCACAATAATTCACCATGATCCCTTAGATAAAATACACACACTAACGTAACTATATAAGCATTTAAGGGTTGAGTTTCTTAATCAATGATATAAAGAATAATCAATCAAAATCGAGTTTTTTATTTTTTCCTTGCAACGTTAAACACAAATAACGTGCGCGATTTAGCTGTGCAATTGAACAAAATTTGTTGAGTCCTCTATTTTATGAAAAAACTACCTAATTATTTAACCAAATGCCTAATTTTAGAACTTTAAAAATTCTTTTTTAGATCAAAGGCAACACATTTTGTGGTAAAAAATACATTTATTTTACTTATGAAAGTTACCAAAACCTTAAAAGGATTGAAAATATAAGAAATCGAGTAAAAGCTCGAAAAATTTTGAACGTTTGGAGAACATTTTGTAAGTACCTAAAATTGTTTTCATAATAACACACATTAAAAACATTTTTTAGATCAAAATAAAATAAAAACCAACCTTGGAGACCATAACAGACAAAAAAGATTTTACTTTATAAAAAAACATGTTATATCTACCACAAAGATATTGGAGGTAAATTTGTTGTTACATAATAGTTTCAACTACTAACAAATTTTCCAAAGGTCCCCTATAGATTTCACACAAGAAAAACCTGTATACCCCATGCAAATAACTTACCCATAACCTTATTACCAACCGGCTTACCTGACATTTTATGAATCTATTTTGCACAATTTAATTAAAGGACAATAAAACCTATTTTAAGAGTAAATTGTTTTAATTTCTTTACCTATACACAAAAAATAAAAATAACACTAACAAATACTATTACAGAAGCTTCTTAGTGTTCGTAACCATCAGGTAGGGGATTGGTGTGTGGGTTGTGGAAAAGTGACTTGTTACCCTCTCCCCATGGAAAACGCTTAGTGCGAACCCTCATATAATCGTATTTAACGAACTCAGGTTGTTCGTGACCATGGCTTTGATGTCCCAAGTACACATTAACAGCGCATAAGATAATCGAAGGGAATGCAACGAAGAAGGTCAAATTCTTCCAGATTTTGTAACCACCTACAAAAACTTCTTTGTACATTCCTTTATTTACTCTATTTCACTTACTATCACTTCCTATGAAGCTACATTAGTCTTTTTGGTACGTTATGTAATAAACATAACCTCACTTCAATAGAATCGCGATTTTTCGCAAAATCTTACCTTCGTGTCCTCCGGAGACGGCAGAGGGGCCCACAACGCGAGCCTGTGCGGCCGCCTTGGCCGCAGAAGTCTGCATAAATCTGCGAATAGATTGGTTTATGATCGCAGCCATTTTCACCTTTTTCACACGAAAGCGAATCTGTCAAAATTATTTTGCGCTTGCGCAGAATTGACAGTAGTCTACTGTCACTAAAATATTTGAATTTTGTAAAAAGGTCTTTATTTGCCTCTGTCTTAAGAATGTTAACTGAATAAATAATATTTAGTAATATAACTGTCTTAGGAAAAAACTTTTATAAAATAGGTTTAACTGTCTTAATATATTACTATAGTATTAAGTTAATACTGTCCACATAGGCTATATTATACACAGATTATAAAACTTATATAGCCTGTTATGTCAGTCATATTATGACTAATGCAGTCTGCATAAATAACATAAAAATTTCAACTTAAGATAGGTTTAGGTAACTGTCCTAAGAATGTCAACTTAAGCTAGATCTTTTAAAAACTTTTTTGTTTTTAGACTTTTTGTCATAAAAACTATAATGGAATATACCTAGTTTGCAATTTAATGACTCACATGGCATTTAATTAACAATAAAAATAAATAATTCAATAGTTATAAGAATAATTAATAACTCTTTATTCCATTTCATTAAACATATTATACAATTGATACAATGAGAATAAAATATTGGCGAATAAAATAACAATCTGCATGTACTTCATTTTGGTAAAATATAAAATAATATCCATAACTTATTATTTAGGCTGTGACTGGTATGGAATCAGTATTATCGATACTCTTTTTGACTATGTGAACCTTCTTGTTCGACAGACACACAATGTAGCAATGATCGTCATAGACTATGGATAATTTTTTGAAACCCTCCTCGGGGGGGAAAGCCACTGAGTCAATTTGAGATGTCAGATTTATCATTCCCATTATGACGTTTGCGGTTTTTTCATCGTTTTCTAGTTCTCCTGAAGACGATAAAACGGCACCTTCTTCATTTAGTACCAAATAACCTGTTTGGTTCGATTTGCGATCCATATCACTTTAATTCGTTTACGTTCACCTTACTATGACTGTGCCTTTTTATTTAAGTATAAGGAGCTGCAATGTTTTCATTTTTTCGAAACAAAATAAATAGATTGACTTATGTCAAAACAAACGTCAAATGAATCTGGTGACAAACTAAACTCCCTAGATATATTCAAAAATTCTTTATGGCGCCAACATTCAATTTAGTAGAGTAAACTAACAAAATAACAAAACAAGGAATAAATTATGTGGTTTTATGGGTGATTCTGAATAATAAAAATGTGTGTTAATAAATAATTTAAATAATGTTAATTAAACAAACACCGCAAATCGTAGCAGGCAATTTTTAAGTAAATTAGTAGGCGGACGATCGTCTTTTATTTAAATATCAAATTAAACGTCAAACTGCCATGTTTATTGTTTTTGCAACAGTGTAAAAAGGTAAGCGATTTTATTTTTTACTAATTTTAAGGCTTAAAAGTTATGAATTAATATTAAATAAATAATTATTTGATTTATAAAATGTACAATTTATATTCCAAATACCTAAAACACAAATTCTGTTTCATTTTACATGTTTTGAATAAAACAGAACAATATAATGAAATATGGACTTAAAATTAAATATTCTTATTGGTCTTACCATTTCTATATTATTTTTTAGTCAAAAATCACTTTTTATTAATAAATTGCATTTTTTTCTTGATATAAACGTTTTGTCAGTTTGACATTTAACATGACTTCTTTGACATTTGAAGGTTTCTAGATTACCATGGATACATGTGACAGGTAGTACCATGGATACATGAGACAGGATAGTCAACTTTGTTGAAAATGCTCGCCGTATTCTGATTGGTTGGTCAAAATCGAGGGTGCTTAACCCCGCCTTTAACTCGGAGACTATTATAATACGGGGCCAAGTATAGGAAGTCGAACATCCTGTCTCTATAGGTAGAAGAGTAGAAATGTTTGTAGAAGTTTTTTTTAAATTAAATCTTTTTTTTGCGAATTCGAATAGATAATGAAATACTAAGTACCTTTGAATTAAATAAAACGATAATATAAATGATTAATGCCAAGTAATGTTTTTACAATTGATTTGACATTTTATCGGACATCTGATAACATTTTAACCCTACTTTTTATCAATCTGACATCTGTCAAACGCTTTTAACCTCACTTGTATCCAATCAAAATTAAAGTATGGTCCATCCATTCTAGCGCGTCATAGCAAAAACATGATTATTTTTCTGTTTTAGCATGATAAAAAACGAAACTATGATCCCCCCAATGGCAAATACAGCCCCTTTAGTTAAAATAGCCCCCAAAAAAGTTGACCCTCGTAATCCCGAAAAGTACGCGATCTCAAAAACTATAGATTGGGAATCTCGGGCCGGTAAATTCGGTTGGGAGTACATCGACACTTGTTGTATTTACCCGATACCGTTCGTATACAGGAACGGAAGGAAGTTCTGTTCGGCCGCCATGTTCAGCATAAAAATTTTGAGCAATTTCGAGAACGCTCTTAATAATGAGGTTCACTCGTGCTTCAAAGTGCTATCGTACCCGATGACGCAGGCTGAAGCCAAATTGTTCGATGAGATCAATAATTTCCATTGCAACGGGTACATGGGGGCTTACAGCTTCACCCCAAACGATATAATGCTGACGTTGGAGGATGTGAAGGAGCTATTCGGGTTCGTGCAGGTTTGCTATAACGTTTTGGTGAAGAACCAAACCAACTGCAACGGTACTGGCAAAGTGGGCTTCGTGAAGATAGGTGACATCTCCATGGTACCCTACGTGAACCCTGGGTGTTACGTAACCACCTGTTACGTACCCCTGTTTTACTTCGAGGGCGAAAATGAGTGCCTCAGCAGTAAATCGGTTGTAGCCCACACGTGGAACTTGGCTTACCTGAAGTTCTGCTTCAAACTTCAAGGCATCAGACCGCAGCTCTACGAGGGAAACACTTGTAAAGTTGTGAAGCTCTGCGAGCTTCAAAAGTACTTCCCTGCCAGCACTTCGTTTAGATTCGACTGGCCCAAATACGATGCAAAGAAGTTCCTAAATCCACCCAAGGATAAAAAGGAGAACCCAGTTATTTTGAACCACCAGATGGCCCAAGTAACAGAAAACAAAGATTACAAAACCATGATTTTGCCGTTTTTCGGGAAAAACGTGCGGTGCATCAACTTGAGACCTTCAGAGTTCACCACGTTGGTTTTGAGTTTGGGGGAGTTGTACACGTTATTTTTTTATAACGTCTCGAAGGAAGTTTTTTGTTATGCACTGAAGCGCAGCAAGTTGAGCCTCTATCCACCAAACAGACACCAAATGATCGAGCTATATCGCAACATTAGCAAACCCTTGGATTTCCTGGATTTCTTGGTTTTGGTCAAAGATGTTTCTGAATGCATAGGCGACCTCAAGAAGTACTCTGGCCTTTAGTTTTAGATAAAGTAAAAAATAGTTTGTAATGTAAATAAAGCGTATTTATTTAAGAACCACTTTATTCATTATATTATATATATTGCTTAAGCGGAAGGACAATCTTTCACTTAATACGAAAAAACGTCACCAAAAGAATTGGTTTGTATTAAGAAGAATTTTCTTCTAATTGGAACGAGGATGCTCTATCAAAAATAGTTTATAATGCAAATAAAAACATATTTATTTCAATAACGAGTTTATTTATCAAAAAGAATAATCACTACTTAAACTACTGCTTTGAAAAATTTGATTCTTTTTCGGTTTTTGGGGGGAATTCAAATATTTATTCATCAATTCCTTTATCTCCTTTTGATTTTCCTCGTAATATCCACTGGGTACATAGCTGGACACTGAAGTATTATGGGTTTTATCTTGTCTGCTAGCATTGTTTTGTGTTGAGTAAGGATGTTCTTCTAATAGGTACGAAGATGCACTTTGAAAAAATTTACCAAACGGAGTTTTCACCATGGAAGAATTTTTCCCTTCATTATCCTCGGAAAAACTAAAGAACTGTTCACTACCCTGCTTCTGTTTTTGTTTGGATACAACGTTTTTGAAGGTAGCTGTGATGTCTTCTTCATTGGGTGGCATTTCATCGAACGGTTTGGCGGAGAAATTAAACATGTTGGGGTCCTTGGATTTGGAATTCAAAAACTCCTTGAACGGTTTGGCGTTGTTATCGCTGAACATGGCCAAATTAAATTCGTACACCTTTTTACTGGGATTAAATTTATCCGAGGACCAATGTCTTTGCAACTTGAAAGGTTTCTTTTTGTGCACCGTTTCCTTTGGGATTTCTACTATCGGAACTCCCTCCCTACCCTTCCTTACTATCGCTATTTGCTTTTGGTTTTTCAACTGTTTTACAGTAGGGCGGTTGATGTAGTTTTGAAGGTACTTATTGAACTCGGATGAGTTGCTGGTGTCGGTTTCGTAGAGCTTCCTATCTTGCTCCATAAACTCCTTGCGTATTTCTTTCGCGCTCAACTTTCTCGGCGGCTGGAATCTTCTCATTCTCCTCTTTGGTTGATATTTACCACTTGTCGAGTCTGAAGGTAGCGAAGGAGGAAGACATTTCCTAATGGTGCTTAAAGATTCCGGACTTGTACTTCCCAAGATACGTTTTTTCGAAGGGGACGAAGTCGATACATCTGTATCAGTTAGTTTTCTCTTTTTGGCGAGTGTATCAACTTTTTCTGTTAGATTTGATGACGTTGTTGGGGAACTTCTACTTTTATCAACCATTATATTTCCATCATCATCACCGTCAGCTGAATAGTAACTAGTTAAACTATCTATGTTCTTCATGATTTGTTTATTGCAAACACTTTTATGGGAAAGATTTAATACCTTCTTAATTTGCTCCTTCTTTTGATCAGGAATTAGATCACCATTTGACTCGAGGCTTTCATTTTCTTTTATTTCCTTTATCTTATTAGGTATTTGATGATGTTTGACAATTTTTCGATGACCCAAAGTTGTCTTAATTTGCCTTTTCTTTTCTTCAGGTAATTGGTGAACCGATCGTTTCTTAAGTTCCTCTTTCTCTCTTTTATTATTAACTTGTTTTGAATTTCTGTTTTTAACGATGTTTTCATCGGTGTTATCAAAAGAAATGCTGGCATCATCAGGTCCATATTCAATGATAACTTTTGGCGACAAATAATGTTGGTACTGCCTTTTTGGTAAGTATGAAGTATTTTGTACTTTGGCACTTATCGAAGTAGATTCTTCATCTTTTCTTTCATTCGTTTTATTCAAAATTTTGGAAGAATCTTTATCCCCTTCATCACTATTAAAACTGTCCGAAATACTGCCAGATTTATCTAAAACTTCATCCTCATCTTCAGTCATATTGTTTACTTCATCTTTAAACTTATCATCAACGCTAACATCATCATCTTCTGTAACATTATTTTCTGAACTTTTTTCATCATCTTCTTTCTTGACTTTTTTCTGATCACCATTATCTTCTGTGACGTTGTTTTCTTCCTCATCATCAACTCCATTGGAAGCTTCTTCCTCTACAGCGTCTTTTGTTTCATTGAAATCATCTTCGAAGCTTCCACATTTGGATAAAATCTGGCTACAAATCTCCAGTTCTTCTTGTATGGATGTCTCTCTTATTCCTTCCTCAAAGCTATCATATTTGGAGAAAACCTGACTGCAAACCTCCAAATCCTCCCGAAGAGAATCGACATCAACCTTTTTGTGCCTCTTACCCAACACAATTGGTTGAGGTGTAGAAGTGTTTCTGGTGTATTTTGGAAGAGGCATAAGAAATTGAAAATCCTCCGTCTCTATTTGAAGATTTTTTCTGTAGTTTATAGCGTTTTGAAGATCTTGGGATATCAGATCGGAGTTGTTATTATAGGATGTGTTTGGGTAGCTTATATTTACTTCTGGTATGAACAGGTTTACATTTTCTGGGTTTTCGTTCATGAATCTGGAAATGTTTTGATAGGTTTCAGACTCCATTGGAGGCAGATAAGATTTTGGGGATGTTACAACTTGGTTTTGCGTTTCTGGCGTAAATTCTATCAGGGGTAGATTATTATTGTATCTGGGGAAGGTTAGAACTTGGTTTTGGATTTCTGGTGTGAATTGTATCAGGTCTTGGCTGTTATTATATCTGGACATGTTTTGATAGTTTTCAGGTTCTATTGGAGGATAAGAGTTCGAGGGGGTTAAAAATAGATTTTGATTGAGCAAGTCTTGGTTTTCTGGTGTGAACTGTATCAAGTCTTGTCTATTATTATATCTGGACATGTTTTGATAGTTTTCAGGTTCCATTTGAGTCAGAACAGGCGGATAAGATTTTGGGGAGGTTAAAATTAGCAAGTCTTGGTTTTCTGGTGTGAACTGTATCAGGTCTAGTTTATTTTGAAATTCATTCAAATTTTTGTTGATTTCCGCCATTGTCAACTTGCCTTTGGACTTTAGATACCTTAACCTACACTCTAGATCGTATTTTAACCTCATTCTAGGGTCGACACTTGTTACTTCGAGACTCTAAAAATTGTTTTATAGCTATAGGAGGAAAATTAAATTAAAATGTGTTTTTACTTTGACGAATGTATTCTTTGTTTTATCCATGACTTCATCAATTAGCTTCAACACATGATCGGGCCAAATGTTTCTGACCAAGTAGATACCGTAATAATTAATATTCGTTATGCCAGGTTTCACGTTGTACTTAAAATCCAGCTGTATGTCCTGCGGGGTGTCTCCTTGAGCTATGGTCTCCATCTGCCATCTAAAAATCATCTATAGAGAAACTTCACAGCAATAATTCGCGACTTACACTTTGATGTTCAGATACATGTCGTGGATTTTGGCCAGGGTTGTGAAATGCGTGGTGATGTACAGAAATATGGAGGTGTTGGCGAATTTTTCGCAGATGGCCATGGCCAAAGCCATCCCCTCTTCCAGAGATGTCGATCTGCACAGTTCGTCGATTATCACCAACGAATTCTCCGTCATTGTGGTTAGGATATACTTGATTTCTTTCATCTGGAAAAAATGATTAAAAGTTCAACTCTTTAATCGTCTTCTAACATTTGTTTGTTGCTTGATACCTATTGGTAGAATTTGCAAATAAAACTTTTACCATTGAAGTAATAAAGAAACAAGTCACCAAGGTGATTTTGTCTTCATTGAGGATTTAAATAAAGTCAAAAACTAATATCACGAAAATTGCTATATTAAATTTATAGGTACGAATGATGTAATTAACCACCATGAAACTAAACCATTCTGCCACACCCTGTACATACAATAAAATTAAATAATGTATTACAAAAGAACTTGTTTTTAAGTCATTTATTTGGAAAACTTGTTATGATGGAAAAATCAATTATGAATGTTATCGAGGTAGGTAATAAAATATTTATTGTCCTCATAACTTTTCTACCTGAAATTTACACCCTTATCGCTCTATTCAATACCATTTAGATCATGCGCATCTCGTGAGAACCTGGCAGAACGCCACTGGTTTGTACTATTCGTGCTGAAAACGTTATACCCGCATTTTTTATTTTGCTGATAAATATTCCAGCTTACGTAAACATATCACAATTGGTTACTATTAATAGTTTAGTTATTATATATCATATCCAACCAACATTTATTCGATCATTGGTCAGAATTTTAACAAATAAGGCGCCTATAATCCCAAGTTGAATGTTTATTTAATGAGTTTGTTTGTGTATGATAAGCAGTTCACCTTGAAACATTCTAGAACATAAAACTTTCTAAAACCACATTCTCTTCGTAACTTAGCTTAATCGCAAAGTTCCCTGTACATAAAAAATCAAATTGTGCATAGAACAACAAATTTACCCTCGATATTATTTAATTTTTTTTGTATAAATAGACGGCGAACCTACGTAAACGAAACGAAAATATCGTGCTGAGTCGTAGAAACAGGTTTTTCGTGGAATCAAGGTCAGCAGCCTTTAGAAAGAGTCAAACGGTACCAAGGAACACTTTCTGTCTCTTTTTATTTTTAATAAAATTGCTGATACGAAGTTTAACATAACATTTCGAGTTTACTCAACCATTGTGAAATATAATACCTATGTTGTTGTATGTATATAATATTTTTATGTTAAATTATACCTATTAATAAGAAAAAGTATTACTAAACAAAAACCTTTTTCTATACCTGTAGAATAAGGTTTTTTACAAATAAAATGTGCAGTAGTAATTTTACAGTTTACAGTGTAAAATTTATAAAAGTGTTTACATATTTTAGCATTTTTAAGATAAGACAATTAATGGTATTGCAAACAAATTTTCAGAATGTACAGGAAATGTCAAACTTACCTAAAATATATTTAAGAACGTCAAGACGTGTTTAAAAAAGTCAAAAACCAAACTTACTTAGAAATGTAAAAACATATTTGAGAACTTTTAAGTCAAATTTTAAAATGTCAAACATACAAATTTAAAACAATCTTTGGAATGTCAAACTTACTTAAAAATGTTAAAACATATTTGAGAACGTCAAAATCATATTTAAAAATCTCAACCTACTTAATAATTTCAAATTAATGTCAAAACACACATTTTAAAATGTTAAATTACGTTTTAGAATGTCAAACACAAATTTAAATTACATTTAGAAAATCTTTGAAATGTCAAAACATATTTAAAAACGTCACAATATGTTGAAAACCATATTTTTTAAAATGTCAAAAACAAACTCTAGAATGTCAAACTTACTTGAAATATTTAAGAATGTTAAAAACACATTTAAGAATGTTAAATCAACATTTTAATTGCTTTAGAATAGGTATCAAGAAATAATTAAGAATGTCAAAAAAATGGCAAAACAATGTTTAAAAATGTCAAAAACCATATTCGGAATGTCAAACTAACTTAGAAATGGCAAAACATATTGGAGAACGTCAAAATCATATTAAAAAATGTCAAACTCACTTAATCAAAAATACAACATTTAAACATATCAAAACAATCTTAGGAATGTCAAAACATTTTTTAAAACGTCAAAACATGTTAAAACCATGTTTAAAAAATGTTAAATCACGTATTAGAATGTCAAACACAGATTTAAAATACATTAAGACAATTTTTGAAATGTCAAAACATATTTAAAAACGTTAAAATATGTCAAAACCAAAATATAAGAATGCTAAAAACATTTTTAAATATCAAAATATGTTTAAGACATTTTTTTGAAAACGTCACAATATGTCAAAAACAATCTTTAGATTGTTACCTACCAATGTCAAAACATATTTTAGAACGTCAAAATCATGCTTAACTTCAAAATTCTGTCAAAAACACATTTTGTTACATCACGCGTGTTAGAATGTCAAACACACAAATATAAAACATATCAAAATAATGTTTGGAATGTCAAAACATATTAAAAAAAAGTCAAAACCATGTTTAAAACTGTCAAAAACAAAAATGTCAAACTTACTAAGAAATGTCAAAACAAACATTAAAACCATATTTAAAAATGTCAAACTTACTAAATAACTGTTCTATCTGTTAAAAACGTTTTATACAAATTTAAAATGTTATTTTATGTTATGTTTCATCAAGTTTTAAAATTTTAGACATACAAATTTAAAACTTAGCAAAACAGGTTATCCAAAATTTAAAACATCAAAACTTTAGAATGTTTTTAAAAATGTCAAAATCATCTTTAGAACGTCAAAACTATATTTAAAAATGTCAAACTTACTTAATAATTTTAAAATTTTGCCAAAAACACACTTTAAAATGTGAATTCCAAAGAATACCAAATATACAAATTTAAAATATGTCAAAACATATGTATTTGAAAACGTCAAAATATGTAAACCATATATACTGCCCTACTATGGAGAAAGGCAGTAACTGCAAAAAAATGCAAGATGCGTTTTCTTGTGCTATGGTAAAGCTATGGACATTTTGTAACCGAATTCAGCACACAAATGCAGTCAAATATCTTAAAAGTTAAAAAAATTAATTAAATACCTACTGCTTTTTATAAAAATGTAGTTTATGCTAATTTTCCACAAATTTCTTGTTTAGCAGTTACTGCCTTTCTCCATAGTAGGGCAGTATAGAAATGTCAAACTTACATAGGTACCAAAGATAAATAAGGTTACTTGATAATTTAAGAATGGTAAAAACATATTTTAAAATGTCAAGCATATTTAAAAAGTGTCAAAACACAAAGAATCTTAAAACCATAGTTAAGAATGTCAGATATTTGGGTCACCCAAAGCAGGACCAGGATTAACATTTAAATAAATGGAGTACAGTTGTTGAGCAAGTTAATAATCTATGGAGTTGATAGTATGAACAAGAATGCAGCTATGCGTAGCTGCAGCTAAGCTTAGCTGCGTAAGAACCCCGAGGAGGTAATTAAAATAGTAGAATCGCCTTGATGGAATTCGATATGCATAGCAGGCCGTGCCACAGTGCTGTGGAAAGTTAGCACGGTTCGTTTATTGACCCCTAGGAGTGCGCGTGCGCCATACCAAAGTGTTCCGACGCGCATATGGCACGGAACAGACTTTAACAGCTTTAACTGCATGACTGACTATAAAGAAATAAAAAAATATTCCTCCCAACGCTAGGTTTTCCCTCTATTTTGAAAAACGAGCATTCTTTAAATATTCAGTATCATTATTTATGATTCACGAAGGATGAATATGTCGATTTGAATAATCAAGGTTAAATGAGTCATTATTAAATTAATAATATTAATCATTAATATTTCATTTAAAAATAATTCACTGAACATTAAATTTTATACCTGCATATATTATCGTTTTAGGTAGGTACCTACCTGGGTTATTTTTAAATCGGTAATACAGGTAGGTATAGCATGGAGTTTGGTTACCTCTTTTTATCACAAGAAATTTTATATACATATACCTACTAATGAACTACTAGATATTTGCTGAAAGACCTGCTAGTAGCTATAGCATAGCCTATGCTATAGCTATATAGCCTATGCTATATACTACATAGCATGGTACCCAGACAAAGCATTAGTGACATAGCCTGTGCTATATGTAGCCAGGGCTAGGCTATGCATATTATAGCCTATGATATAGCTGTTTTTTTTATTCTGTTATATTAAAAAGTATTAAAAAAATATGAAATGTTAAGATTATGATTATTTAAGTTATTAAAATTATAATCAGGCATTAAAAACACTTAGTACTACTAGTGAGGTTATGTTGCTAAATAATTATAATTTTGTATTTTCTAAAGAAATAATCAACTTGTTTTTAATTTGGAATGCGTTGAAAAATCCTTGACTTTAAACATGTGGTAGATAAGTAATGCTAATTAAGATAATTAAAAGTATATTTTATATATTATACAGTCAACTTCAGTTGGGCTATATATTTATAGCATATTCTAAAAACAAATTTTAAAAGAATACTTTAGAATGCCAAATTACATTTTAGACTTGTTTAAAAATGTCAATAAAACCATGTTTTAGAATGTCAAATCCACACTTTGGAATGATAAAATTGTTTTGTCAAACATGTTTGCAAAATGTCAATAAATAATTAAGAATGTCAAAAACACGTTTTAGAATGTTAAGTCAACATTTTTATTGCCTTAGAATGTCAAGAAATAATTAAGAATGTCAAAACATACCTACTTTAAAATGTCAAAAACACGTTCTAGAATGTTGAAAACATTTCAGACACACAGTTTCAAGACATAATAAAGAGATTTTATAAAGTTTAAAAAAACAATTTAGAATGTCAAACATGTTTGCAAAATGTCAAGAAACAATTAAAAATGTGAAAAACACATTTTAGAATGTTAAATCAACCTATTTATTGCTTTAAAATGTCAATAAATAGTTAGGAATGTCAAAAACAGTTTTAGAATGTGAAAACATACTTTGAAAGTCAAAAACACATTTAAGAATTTCAAAACATAATAGAAAGATTTTGTTTCATAAGAACAATTTAGAATGTCAAAAAATGTCAAGAAATAATTAAGAATGTCAAAAGCACATTTTAGAATGTTAAATCAACATTTTAATTGCTTTAGAATGTCAAGGAATAGTTGAAATGTCAAAATCAGTTGTAGAATGTCAAAACATACTTTAAAATGTCAAAAACACATTCTAGAATGTTAAAAACATTTCAGACTGTCAAACAATTTCAAAACATAAACAAGAGATTTTAGAATGTTTGAAAGAAAAATTTAGAATGTCAAAAATGTTTGCAAAATGTCAAGAAATAATTAAGAATGTCAAAACGAACTTTGAAATGTCAAAAACACATTTTAGAATGTTAAAAACATCTCAGACTGTCAAACAATTTCAAGAGATTTTAGAGAGTTTAAAAGAACAATTTAGAATGTCAAAAAATGACAAACATGTTTGCAAAATGTCAAGAAATAATTAAGAATGTCAAAATATCTTAAATCAACATTTTAATTGCTTTAAAATGTCAAGAAATAATTAAGAATGTCAAAACATACTTTAAAATGTCAAAACACATTCTAGAATGTTAAGAACATTTCAAACTGTCAACAATTTCAAGACATAATAAGACAAGACATACCTAATAAAGATGTTTTATAAAGTTTAAAAAAACAAATTTTAAAATGTCAAAAACATTATAGAACGTCAAACAATTTTATCACTTGATAAAGAATATTTAAAAAAAAACATTTTAGGTAGGTTGAATGTTAAAAATATTTTAGAATAGGGACAGGGTTGTTCATAAATAAATTAATTGTTGTAAGTACTATTAATTTATTATTATTATTATTCGTATTATGTAGACTACATAAATAAAGTATGCTATATAGCTTTTTTGCTATGGATAAGCTCGGCATATTATGCTAAAAACAAACATACTACATTGTATAACATTGTTTAACGCACTAGTACTGCATAGCATAGGCTATGGTATAATAAAATCGTCGAGGCTAACGCTATAAAACCAACGTTTAAATCAATAGATTAAATCAACGTTGCGACGCATGCGCACACCCGCCGCGTTGCCTTAATTAAAATTCCGAAACGACAAAAACCGAAAAAGCATTAGCCGTAGAGAGGTGAAAAGAGATGGGAACGCGAGCGCGAAAGAGAAAGGAGACCAGCAATTTAACCGATTCCTTTGTGACGCGCCAGCAGCTGACTCAACCGGCCGGTTCCCCGCGCGCCCCTCTTAACCGACAAGAACCACGTGAGCGCGGCGGTGCGCGGGGCAGAGAGGGGGCGTTGCTAGGCGCCCGACCTAACGGGGCGTGTTCCGTCTCCCCCCTTCGCCGCGCCAGCCTAAAAACATCCGCTCAACGGAGGTCACCTTGACGATATTAATAGAAAATGTGGCATAGAGGCTGGAAGTAAGTATGGAGTGCCGCGTCGTATCTATAATGCTTTCCATGCGGAGGTTATAAAGTGGGGTGGCGTTGCTTTTTGCCAGAACCTGAAAAGCCGTGCGAGACGTTGCCGCGTACGATTTTTGCTCTGTGCTATATAGTGTTCTGTGGTGGACTACTGCATTCTTTGATGTTCGCGCTTTCTACAAATAAGTTCAAGGTAAGCTGTGATTTACGTTGTTTTTGTTTAATGCTGCGCAATCCCTGTGGACACAAATTTTATCGCGATGATTCTCAAGTCTGCGCATATAAGCTATTAACGTGAGTAATACGGCGAGGAAATGTCAAAACAATCAAAATTTACGCATTCCTATTCTTAACAATGCATTGGCTTACGTCAAACAGTATACCGGGTAGGTCTAAAATACCACTTTTTGGCGCCTTTTTTATTTATCACTGTTGTTTGGAATATATTATTTTTTGCCTTACGTCAAACAATATACCGGGTAGGTCTGAAATACCACATTTTGGCGCCTTTTTTATTTATCACTGTTGTTTGGAATATATTATTTTGTTTTTTAATATCAAAGTGTTTTTACAATAATAATTTACCTAAATGCTTATTGTTGTTTTTACTTGGTCATTTCTTTTGTATTTTTTAAGGTAGTACCCACACTATAGTGTAGTTTTACCAATGAAGGCTACCTATAAACATTGACGGAGTACATTCAAGGATTTAACTAGTTTTACAATGTATTTTGACTTTCATAAAAAAATTGTTCTCCCTCGCAATAGAAGAAAATTAATTGACCAATCTTACATTAATATTTATAATACTCTTTAAAAGCATGTTTTATTTACCTATTTAATTGTTTTAATAATTACAAGAAATAATAAGTCACTTATACAGGGTGTTTTACAGTATGTACAGTTTTAATATTTTTTAATAGGTTTTTCCTGAATATATTAAACAGCAAGATATTGAAAAAACGCAATAGTTAGGAAATTCCTAATAGGAATTTAGTAAACATAGTAATGATTTTAATTTTATTCTAAAATTGAACCAGCGGCGTACCAAAAAAAGTTCGGTTAGGTTAAAAAATACCTACATGATCAGAAAATGCTTCAAAAAAACTTATTTTTAATATTCTAAAATATGCTTTTTAAATTTTATAGTGTGTACGAGTTTTATTATGCACGAGCAAAGCACGAGTATCTTGAGAAGTTTATAAAACGAATTGCAAACGATACTGACAACTGTCAACTGGTGTTAACCTCACTTTTCCCCAATCTGACATCTGTCAAACAATTTTAACTTGAAGCTAATTTCAGCCCGTGAGTTAAGTAACTTTATCTACTTCTACATCGTATAAAATTATAAACATTATTATTATTATTGGTGTAGATAAAGTATATAGTATTACATTTGAGATTAAATGCATTATTATATCTCGTGTAATAATATACTATTATCTACTCCCACGACAAGCTGTGACTTCATAGAGTTTTAGTCACAGGCTGAAGTTCGCAACAGTAGCATTGGGGCTTTTTAGTCACGGCCTGAATTTGACTCTATCATAAATTGGTAAAAAGTGAGGTTAAATTTGTCGACAGTTGTCAAATTTTTAACAAATAAAATTGGCTTCAAAATCTTTGTGTTTGTCGTAGATAAAGGTATAGTATGCAACTCATTTACAAACTTTTTTAGACACTTGTTTTCAATAAACTCGTCACTAAAACAAACTAGATAAATAATATTATTCTAATTTTTATTAATTTAATTGAAAACAAGTTAACCTAACATTTTGACATTTAAATTCCTGTCAGATTACTGTGGATGAAATTTCAAAAGAGCTTTTAATTTCTTATATGTTTCGAAACTTAAAATCCAATCCATCTGGCTTGAAGGATAAACTTTGCTTAGCTTCTTGGTTACATTTTGTCACGTTCGAACTTGGTTATACAACACTGTAACAGAAGTAGAACGGTATTTTTCCTGAACCTGAATCTGGAGTTCCGTTATCATCAACAAAAACCGTAAAATCCTATTTGGAACAAAATCAAGCAAACTTTTATTAGAAAAAGAATCAAGTCGTAGTTTGTCTGATTTACATAACATGTCAAACAAATTTTGACAGTAACAATTTCTCCTAAAATGTCAGATAAAAGACGCAGAAGAAAGAAAAAACCCGCAAATATGGTTAAAATTGTTATGAAGAAGTGTAAGTTTCAACTTCAATGTCTTATTTTGTTTCAGTTCGTACAAATTTTAAAACGGTTTAGGTATTGGCAGTACGAGGTGTGCTCTAAAAGTAAATTATTGTTTTTTGGTGAATCAATTATATTAAATATCAACGTTAACCCCTTTAATAGTGCTCGTTGGATACGTTATTAGTATAATAGAAGCGATAAGAGGTGTCAATAGTACATTTTGCAGATTCGGAAGCGGAAGCATAAATACAATTTTTTCTCATTCTGTCAACAAACTCGCTTACGATATAAAAAGTGCGAAACCAGATGCAGCAGCGGATGTAAAAAGTATGCGGAACTTCCGCAGCTGCAAAAGCCGGAGCGTAGGTCTATTGTGACACTTATGCTTTTGTCAGAGCTGTTCTTTATATTTTGGAAACAAAAACTCACACGGCGCCATGTCTGTCGAATATGCAGGCCAAAACATATTATTTGGGAGGAAGTCTAATTTGAATAATTTGTTGCAGATATGAAATTGTCCAACGATATGGCGGATACGGTGCTGATAAAACAGAAACCGGAAGACCGCATCGACTACGAGTCGGTCCAGGGAAAGTTCGGTTGGACCTCGATCGACAACTTCAACGTCCCTTACGTGATCAGGGCGGGGGAAAAGTTCACGGCCATCAGGATAGCCGAGATGAAGCTGCTGCAGCAGTTCAAGGACTTCTGCAATAGCGAGGTGTACGGGTGCTTCACGATCAAGCAGCACAAGATGACGGCGGCCGAGATCCGGCTCTTCAACGAGATCAACATGTTTCACAGCAACGCGTTCTACGGGAACTACCCGTTCACGGAGATAGACAACCTGCTGAAGCTGGAGGACGTCGAGAACTTGTACGATCTGTACAGCTTCATCAAGTCGGCGTACAACGACCAGGTGTCCGTTTCCGACACGTCGCCCTGCGGTTTCGTCAAGATGGACGACCAACCGCCAGTGCCGTACGTCGTGGTGAAGGGTCTAAAGTACCTACCGATGTTCTACTTTGAAGGGGCCCAGGAGTATCTCGAAGGCAACGCGATAGAAATCACGGACTGGCACTTGAGTTACCTGAAGTTCTGCTGCAAGATCCAAGGGATCAGGCAGGAGTTCTACTCGTCGGAAAAGTGCCAGGTGGTGGAGTTCGAGGAACTGAAGAAGTTCCTGCCGCCGGAGACGGACTTCAAGTTCGCGTGGCCCAACAACGGCGTCAAGAGTTTCTTCAAGAAGGTCGCGGGCGAGAAGGCCAAGCAGAGAACAGTGCATTCGGCCATAAATAACACAGTGAATTCGGCCATAAACAATACCGTGAACTCGGCCATTAGCAATACAGTGAATTCGGCCATAAACAATAACGACGCGCAATCGCAGACTTTGCTGAATCAGTACATGAGTGCGGGGACGAATAGGACGCAGCAGATGGCCGCCAGCAACTACCTTCAAATGTACAACAACTATCTGAACCAGCAGTTCTACAGTTATCCGCAAGGGGTCGGGCAAAACGTCCAAAATAGGTAATTCATCGTTGACCAGTCATTGTGATTTTATTGCTAAGTTACCAAAGAGATTTGAGACGTTTATTCTTTGGCTTTGTTCCAACTAAGAGTATCTGTTTGAAAGCTGTTTTTATCAATTATAGGTATGATACAGGATGTAGATATGTAAAAAGACGCCGTGTATAGTTATTTCTAAATAAATCGGAAATTGTTGATTGATCTTTATAAGATTGTTTTCTCTGTAGACTGATTTAAAGAGTTTTTTTTAATTTAATGTTATTTATGACAGTTTAGGAACTATCTGTTATACAGGTACTTGTTAACTTGAAGCCGGAAAGTATTTTTATATGTTTCTTTAATATACGTTTATTAAATATGTTGTCGTTTCATTTCACTATCGAAACCTGTTCTTACTTACCTCTAGAACAAAAGACGACGCGCCCGATTCCATGTCGTCTTCCAGATAAATTCTGGAGAACATTTTGTCAGCAGGTCTGAAAGTGGCTTCACCAGCGGGCACATAGCATCCGATTTGGGCCATGACTTGCAACAACATGGCTTGTCGGATGAGAATGCTCTTTCCAGAACCACTGGGTCCCGTTATTATGTGAACGTTATAGTCTTTGCTTGCCGACTGAAAGAGTGGATAAAAAGGGAGGAAAATTTTGTTGGATAACAAGTTTCTCTGGAGTTGTCTTGGCAGAGAAAGATTCAAAAATAAAAAGTCTTTCTGCTACCCTTACTGCTTTATTCATAACAGGGTCTGTTCCATCTCGGTTCGGGCATAATAAAAATCGCGATGTTAGGAAACCCACTGCGCAGATATTTTTATGTTGTTTACAATTCATGTGCGGTTTATGCAGAACGTTTAAAACAATTATTAATCCGTATAAACAGCTCAACCCCAAAGCACAAGAATTGTAAACAACATTAAAATGGCCGCTGTTGTAGTATGTGCAGTGGGTTGCCTAACTTCGTAATTTTCAGCATGCGCGAAACGCAAAAGTCTAGTTTTGCATACAACCGTACTATAGCAACTTAAACTTCTTACTATGGTGTTGGCGGTAGGTTTGTTGGGACACAAAAAATCGAGCAACGGGTGATGAGCTTCGCGAATTTCCGTGTAGTCGGCGAATTTCGGGCGCACGTAGCCGTAGCTGGCGCTAGCTTCGGCTAGGGATTGCAGCAGGTCCAAATGGCCGATGTTCTCGCACAGATGGTGAAAGACGGCCACGTACTTTTTCAACTCCGATATTATTTGATAAACAATGCTGAAAATGAGTTCTCGATAAACCGAGCCCGCGTTCTATTCATTTAACGGACGGGCTAAATATATTTATACAGGGTGTCCCAGAAAAAAACTGGTTTAGTACTCGATTTCGATTGATTATTCTTAATATCATTGATTAAGAAACTCAACGCTTAAATGCTTGTATAGTTACGTTAGTGTGTGTATTTTATCTAAGGGATCATGGTGAATTATTGTGTTTTTAATTGTAAATAAAATTCAAGAACTAAATCGTTGCATTTTCATGTTTGCCAAAGGATCCAATTCGGTAAGTACATTTGTTGGTGCAGAATTAACTAATGATAACTTTACCTAATGTAATTTATATTTAAGTTTGGACATTTTTAAAAAATTAGTAAAAAATAATTTTTGCACAAACATAACCTTAAAATCAACCATTTTTATATTTGAGTTCTCTAAAAAACGCCGACAACTGCATTTTAAACAACAAAATATACCTACGAATTCATGGCAACATAATATAATGGTATTTTACCGTTAAGTGGAGACTTAAAAGAATTCTTAATCAATGCTTTTAATAATGCTAAATGCTGTTTAAATTTAGACGACTTATTTGTTTAACGATTATTTACACTTTTCACGTTAATCACTTCTAAAATGTGTATTTATTGTATCTAATAGGTACAATTTATATTTACAGGGACTGTATGAAATTTATTTCTTCATTCGGATTAACAGTGTTTATTGGAAAACCGATAAAAACTCAACCCAGGATTTCCTCTCGAAATACACCCAGCAACACAACAAATCGTGCCAAGGTTTTTTTTTCGAACAGCCGAGTGGTGGCGCTACTAGCGATACTTCTTTAGAGTATTGGAACAGCGGAAAATGCAATGCCTTCGATGCAAATAGTAGGAAGAGCATAAGGAAAGTTGCACGCGAATTTCCAGTTCACTGTTTAGCAGTTTATGAAGGAGTTCTGGGACACCCTGTATATATATTATATACATTTTAGCTTACACGTTGCTTATTTTAAGAATTTCCACTAAAATATTATCTATCCTAGTGGTTACATTAACCAAATGCACCGTTTTCATGGTAAAACTTCCTGCCAATCGAAAAACCTTAAACATTTTAAAATATTAATTCATTTATATCGGAAACCAACCTATAGGTTTTTGACAATATTTGAGGTAATATTACATTGCAAGGTATTTTTTTCTGCCAAAACTCGTTAGCCATCTAAAAGTTATGGCATATGTCATGCAGTGATAGTAAAAAAGCCAAAAGCTTTTCAATTCTAGTATCATTACAATTTTAGGTCAAGTGCCTTAACATTTCTGAAAATATTCAATAAAACGAGTTGATCCATTCTAGCAATAAATAAAAGATTTGCTCAATCCAGTCCAAACTTTGTTTGATGGAGGAAGGTCGGCAACACTTCCAGTGTTGCCACATTCATTTGTGGGAGGGGCTTATTGCCATTGTTGCCTGAGCGTTTTTATATTGAACAAAACTTATTATTAAGGTTTTAGCACAATTCTGCGCGCGATAAGTAAGAGTAGTATACTATAGTTTTAGATAACAACGAGTTCTGTGAAAAAAAAATTTCGCGTTTTTTTAATTTTGGCTTTAAATTGTTAAAAACCTGACTGATTCTTACTTGGATAAATTCTTCAGGTATATCGGACGTTTTCATGAATCTTCTTTGATTTTTATTCAAAGTCAAAACGATGTGATATCCTTTGGCGTTATTGTTAGCTAGAGTTAAGGGGAGGTCGTATTTTTCTGCCAAACTTTTTACGTACTCTGAAGAAAAAACAATATATTTTATAACCAAAAGGTACTACCTTTAAAGTAGACAAGTAGAGAAGTTTCCAAGAATTAGAAGCTTCCTAATATATTTTAATGATTCCGTGCTTTATTTGTGTTTGAGAAAACCCATGTGCATTTGTTTTGAAGATTTTACAGTCCAAGGTAAAGGGGGAAAGGTAGTTTTTTAGAAAAACAAATTGATAATTTGATTGAAAAATCTTTTGAATACTTTACCGGACAATTCTTCTATCCGTTCAGTGTAAGTCCTCCTAACCAAATCTAGAAGGCCGTTGATGCCAGGTTTAACAGCGAAGCACCTCTGATGGACGCTTCTGGTGCCAGATGCAGGTCTGGCCTCGTCGTGGATGACATCGCGAACCTTTTTTTTCACGAACGTGAAAAAATCGCACCCCAAAAATGCCACGAAGTCGACGTAAAACTTGTTTGAGGCGTTCTGAAGGACCTGCTTCAAGGGGGTTACGTTGTCGACTAAATTGTTCAACTGGAGGATGTAATTCAGATGACGGTTCGAGCAGCTTTGCGGATTGTCGGGCATTATTGTGGCGATTGTGAGCAGTTGGTCGACGCTCGGAATTTTTTGCAAGATTGCCTAAAAGACAATAAATTTTATCATACTTGAAAATTAAAATTTTCACGAGACAAACAAAAGATGACATCCAAGGGAAGAAAGGGCCATCTGCAAAATCGGATAAGTAACCTTAACCATCTGCATGACCTAACACATATTTTGCAACATTGGACACGAAAGTCCCTCTAAAAAGTTACTGGTACCACTCATAAACGTTCGAACGGACCACTAGATAAGTCCTTTATAAAGGACCAGATAAAACTACAGTAGTCCCTCATATAGACGAAGACCAATAAAAACATTACGTTGATTTGTGTCCGTGTTATGATAAAATATTATTTCAGTGCAATAATTTGGCTGACAGCTTGTCACAGAAAGGATTTATTCTCAATATATATAAGTTATCGTATAGGCGAACATTTCGATGAAAATATGTTTGCCAACGACTCTCGTAGCAGATTGCGGAAGGATGTAAATTCCGTGTTCTCTTCATCTCTTGAAGGTTCTTCCGTACATACTGATGTTAATAGTGAGCGTTAAGTTTTAGGTTTGCAACAATAATTATCAATCATTCCTGGAGTTGAATGAATTATCATTTTCACTTCCAAACTTGTTACCAACACCACATTCTGATGAAAGAAATCTGGAGAGAGCGATAGATCAAAGCACCTACCTCTTGGTCTACAGAAACGCCAATAAAACGTAAACTGATAGAAGCCATGGAGAAATTACGGAATGAGAATGAGCATCTGAAGCGGAAAGTCGCAAAACTCGAAGGAAGAAATCGTAGACTTTCGATTTGAAGGAAATTGATGATGTGGAGACATGTTCCAAAACATGTTTTAACCTAGTTCCAAATTGTAAATATTATGTATTTTTTGTACGTACAAATAAACTTACCTGCACTGATATAAGCATTTCTGGACACCCGATGAGCTCACCAATGCATTCCAACCTCTCTTCTATACGATTAACCTCATGTAACGGTTGTAATATGGCCGATCTCAAAGTTCTAGCCCCGATTCTTGTAAACGTTTTGTTTAGAACACCAAATAGGCTGGAGTACTTTGTAGCTTGACCAGGTCTTGTGCTGGATACCAGCTCCAGTCTATCTGCTGTGGATACATCTAGTAGAAAAAGTTGTTTTATTTTTTCTTTTTTTGTTTTTCATAAATTGCTTTCTTACCTATGAAAGCATACCCTTCTGATTCTTGGTATTCGACTTTTAAGGTACCACTGGCGTAGTAGCAATACAAAGTTGAATTTATGTACACCAGAAGAGCTGATGCAGACGCTAGGGCGTAATATCTTGTAAAAAAAATTTAGATGAAAAATCACAGGTAATTTTTCCCAAAACTAGCGCCACAGAGAAAAAGGAATGACCATGGGGAATTCTTTAAATCGCTAGGATGCATTGTTGATAGGGTAAAGTAGACACTTTATAGTTATTGGACAATTAACATTAATATTGTAAAAACAAGAATTCTATAAATAGTTACCTTAAATCAAATCATTAGATGGCGCTGTATACAATTATAACTATCTCAGTCGGTAATAATATAGAACTACTTTATTTTGGGTCCAATATACGACAAAAAAGTCCGCACGTTACTTTGGTGGTAAGATTTTTCTTTTTTGTTAAGAGCAGGCTGTGTTTAAATTATAATAAAAAATATTTCTAAAAAGTGTACAGGTCAGTGTGTGGTATAAATGTGTTCCTCATGGTTTAAACATTGTCACTTTAATGCGCTTTAATTTTAATTCTGAAAACAAACAGTAAAATGGCCAGTGTCCAATTACTGGTTGGTAAAAAATGTAAATTTCTATTATTGGACATATGTCCAATATCATACTCTATTTGTATCCCGGACATTTACCAGCCAATTCTTATGTAAAATTGTCCATTGAATCCGAAAAGACCGCCAAAAACTATAAAAGCTAAGCAGTTTTTGAGATATAGTCAATTCCATATTATATGTAAAATTGAATATATTTCAAAAACTGTTCTACTTTTATAACTTTTGACGACATTTTCGGTTTCAACGTATAATATTTCATAGGAATTGACTGCTATAAATGTCCTAGATACAAATTGCTGTTGACGAGAATTATTAGTGGCTGCTTTTTCGCTATGACATTTTTGACTAATTCATTTTTAGAGAGTAAGTAATATAGTGATTTCTTTGTCACAGGACATCTTGCAGAATAACAGTGCATGATAAAGAACATAAAAAACTAATGGCGACAAAATTAATAAATTCGGAAAATACTTCTAAAATACCACCCGAAAAAATGTTAGATATATATAAATCATCCTGTTCCGGCCTAAACGGTATAAATGCTTCACAAACTAGAGATACCACACTTATAATGATATTTGCAACAAACTATTTCAGAAGTCAGACCAAGGAATTAGTAGTTACCTTCAGAATCCAGAAAAGGGATGAGGAATCGGACAAAGAAATATATAAAGTTTAAACAAACAAACTATCCTTTTTATATATTTATAAGAAAAAACTAAAATTTTTAAAACAATGGAATATATAAATTTTAAATAAATGATATTCCTTAAGTGTCCAATAATCATGTGGTTTACCCTATTGCCTAGAAATATTTTATTTTTTAATTTGGCATCTCCATTGCTATCGGCTCCTTTTTCTATGTGGCGCGAGGTCTGGGACACCCTGTATATAGACACTGTATACAACTTACTTGTATTTTAAAACTAGTAAAACCGGATTAAACGACGGTATACATAGTTCCTGGATAGTTTCTAACCCCCTGTTCTTATTGAAAGTATTTCTGGCAACCCCTGTGAACTTGGTTTTGGGGAAATATTTTTTGATTTTCTCGAACAACCGATTTCCGGCAAAATTTTCGACGAACGTTTTTGGGATTAAAATCTAAAATATCATCTTTACAATGTAACATCAGGAAAATATTTTTGGTAGGTATTATTTTACCTCTTCTGGGTTTAAAATGTTTATCTTTGTCAAGGTATTAATGTAGTTCTGGGTATCCGATATCTGGCATAAAATTAACTCAGGGTGAGAAATATTTATTGCAGCCAATCCGACTTCGCAACGGGCTTCCCCTCTACCTTCAGTAATTGCTAAAAGTACACTCGTTATTGGTGCGACTTTAAGTTTTTTGAAATAGGAATCTTGGCTCGTTTAAAGTTTGTACTCATTGTTTAGGCTTCTTGATTTAGACTGTCAAATGGACGTCAGGGACATGCGCAATAAATATATGGTCCAAAACGGTAGGATGAACTTCATCCGATGAAGCCCAATATATGAATAAAATTGCAAACAAAGTACATGCTACAAAATCTTTAAACGCGTTTTTCTTTAATTTCTTCCCAAACAAATGCCTTTTTCGACAACAAATTGTAAATCCCCCTTAAAACTCAGGCTAGCCTGCTGTTTATTAGGGATTTAAATGATTATTTAAATCCCTAATAAAAAGCCTTCGTTTTAAATTTAAATTACCTATTATAATCCTATTTTCTGTTTCTGAGGATTTCGTAGAACTGCCTCCAGATCTCAGAAGGGATGAAGCATTGAATATACTGAATAAATAAAAAATAAGTACCTATAAATAGTTGGACAAAAATAACAAAACCTTAATTTTAAAAGTTTAATAAACAAAATTCCTACCTATTGGCAGGTTTTCCCCAATTCAGTGACGTAGAAGTGGTGGAATTCTTTTTGCTGGGTGCTTTTTTAATCACAATAGGCACTAAAATTACCATTTAAAATAATATAAAAAATGCAAATAAAAGTCTTACCATTTGTTGCCCTTTTGGTATTCCTGTTGGTTCCTTTGTAGAGAAAATGATCATTTAGATTCATGTTTTGTTTATTTATTGAGCTATACTTGGTTTTTGGCTTATAATTAAGATTAAATCACAATGAAACATTGTTATTAGAGCTTTACTTAGATTAAAAGTGCATAAGCTGTCAAAACTTAAGACTCAACTGTCAATGGAAAGACGTTATGAGATGTCAAATTTTTTAAGCCAGCTTCATATCAATTAAACCGTTAATTAATTAATTACTATAAATAATTATATTTAAATATACCGGGTGTCCTACGAATTAAGCCTAAATACAAACATGCTAAAACGATTATTATGGAAACAGAATAAACCAGGATTCTGCAGCTAGCTGAAGTTACCCTGGTTAACAGATGTTTTCTGACAGTTTGTAATTCAAAAATTACTTTTTATTTGGGGATTTTGAAATAATGCGACAAATTATTAAAATAAAAAATCATTTATTATAAAAAACATAAGTTATATATTGTGGGTTAGAAATCCTGAGTTATTCAGTTTCCATGGGTGGACAAATATTTTCTCCGTTTTCGTGTATTTTTACATTGTCAAGACATTGTTCTCTTGCTTGCTGGATTTGATTGTCCCAGTTTTCTGGGACTCTATCTTTGTAAATCTAAAAGAAAAACAGTAAAATATACAGGGTGGTGCATATTTACATGGCTCACCTTGCAAACAAATTTCAAAATATCATGCTTTGAAATCTCTTTTTCCGACCTAACTCCCCAGTGGTAGTAGATTTGTTTTGTGGCTGGATCAGCTTCGATATTCAAATATTTTAGCTTTGTCAGAGTGTTTGTAATATATTCCTTGGCAATACCAAAAACTGGGTGTCGTACATTTACGTCGATATTAAGTTTCTTTAAAAAGCCAAACACTGAGCCCTCGTTGACTGAACAATTAGACATAAAAATGTGCGTCAAAATGAGCATTAAAAGTATTTTATTTGCATCTTCAGGAACTTCGTCGTCACTTAATGTTTCATCGTCCTTATAAGACAAGGCATTACTCAAAATATACGACTTGGGTGTATTAGCTGTAGCGTCAATTAAAATCAAGTTAAAACCATAAACTTTCCTTAAAACAATCACGGCACGCTCCATAACCCTCTCGTAGTATCTGCCTGCTTTAGGCAAAACATGCTTGTGCACTTCGCTACGTTTAACAATTTGCTCCCCGCCTTTCAACACGAAAAATCTGACAACATCGTCCACTTGTTCTTCCAGGGAAGCCGCAGACCCCTCACCAAACGCGTCAACTATAGTTGGCTGTGTTAATGATCGGCCTCCTCCACTTTGCCCTTTAGATTTGTTATTTGTTGGGAGGGTTTGGGATTTCGAAAAACCCCCTTTTCTGGACATTATCAAGATTATTTCGTGCTATTTTGTATCATAAAACAATGATTTTTATCTATGTAAACACTAAATCAACAAACACTGTGTTTTGAGGTTAGGTACAGATTTTGGCGCCAAATATTTTAAAATAAAAAAGAATTACAAGCATAACACTACTAAAAATGCATTTTATAGAATTAAATTTACCATTTCTTAATTACAGACTAATTAATAGCAAATATTTTTGACTAAACAGCAGAATAGTTCAAATGTCTCATTTTTTAAAATTTGAGGTTATGAGTACTAAGCAACTGTAATCGTGAAAAAATTGTTTAAAACGCTTATAATTATGGAAGGAGGAACAGGACCGTTTAGAATAATGTATGTACGCCCATTTTAAACCCAAAACATCCTAATAAAAATTGATTTTAGTTGTTCTAACTACCCAGAAGAATTTATGGAGAATAAGAAACTGGCAAAGCAGTATTTCATGCAGTACGGTGAAATAAAAAAGCTTATATTTAGAAAAGTATCGAAAGTCATCATTGTGGAGTACGAGAAGTATTTTAATATGTTGAATGCTTTGAGTAATGCTGGCGAATACAATGGGAAAAAGTTTAAAGTGTCGGTAGAAAAAAAAGTGAGCCCTACAAAGAAAAAACGGGTTCATAAAGAGGTTGATCCTGATTGGGTGGATGATCCCGCTGTTAGAGAAGAATTGGAGGCTATGGGTGGTTTATCGACAATAAAGGATTATAATTTAAGGCCTAAAGGTAGTTAAATTGTTTTTGTTGTGTTTAAGGGGTATATTGTTTGTGTTTAGGAATGGATGTGGATAGTCCCAGAGTGGAAGATAAAAATAAATTAATGCCGAAATTAAAAAGGTCCTGGAAGGTAGCAGAAAATGTTCCAGGAAAAATATTGGCGCCCAAAAAAAAAGTTGTAGCCAAAAAACCGAGGTGCAATCAAAATTATATTGATTTATATTCATTTCTTAATATATAATGCCTTTGTAGCTTCTCCAATGAACAATTAGATCTTATTAACATTGTAAAACAGCAGAATACAACGGTTGAAGAAAAATATAGATGTCTTGATGCTAGAGATAAATTGGTTAGGATTTTGTTGAAGAAAAAAGTCAGTAAAACTTCTTCTGCAACTGTTGGAACATGCCCTGACATGTGTCCAGAAAAAGAACGATTAATGAGGGAGACCCAGCACCAGGTAAGCAAAAATTTTGATGGATTTTTATTATATGTCAAGTTCAAAAGTATATTATTATATTATATTATTAAGGTTGATTGAATGACAAATTATCAAAAATACCAAAAATTTTAATAAAAAAATTTCAGTCCTAAATTTTCTGAAAAATCCAAATTGCAAATTAACCATAGACTTTAAAAATGATGTGTCTCATATTCTGAAAATTTTAAGTCAAGCTAAAACTTATCAACAATGAAATTTTCTGAGAAATGTAATTTTTTTTTATCATACATGGACATTAGGATGATTTGTTTATATGTATACACACTGTTTATTTTTGTTGTATATTATCTGATCTACAAAAAAGGTTTCCTTAATTTTTGAAATATATTATAAATTCGCGCTTATCAAGCAGGTTTAATGTAAATTTACGTGTATACGCTAAAGAAGCATCGCTAGTAGCGCCAATAAATGTTAAGAATAAGTACATATTAAAAATATCAGGAAAAAAGTGGAACGATTTGTTGAGATGTTGGGTGTTTTTTGAAGAGGAAAATTGGGTCAAGTTTTACTGGTTTCCCAATAAACAGTGGAAATCCCAATGAAGAAATAAATTGCACACAATACAAAATAAAAAAAAACTAATATTTTTTGTTAGATATCTTAAAAATGTCCAAACTTAAAAATAAATTATATTAGGTAAAGTTACCATTATTTAATTCTGCACCAACAAATGTACTTACCGAATTGTATCCTTTGGCAAAACATGAAAATGCAGTGATTTAGTTCTTGATATCTTAATAATTTACAAAATTTAATGATTTTTATGCAAATTTAAGTTTTATTGCAAAACATAATTTTTTTGTGAAAAATATTAATCCTATGACATAAGAATTTAAAAAAAAACTTCTTTTGTTCAGTTTTATGGTAAAAAGGGTTTTTTTTGTTCTGAAAAGCAATTTTATTCCAATTCTATTTATTATATCACTTTAATAAAATTTAATTTAATTATTTTTATGAAAATCTAAGTTTTATTGGAAAAAACCCTTTGTTCTGAAAAATATTATTTTTATGACATAATTAAAAAAACTTCACATCAACTTTTTTTGTTAAATTTTGTTGTAAAAAGTGTTTTTTTTATTCTGATAAGCAATTTTATTCCATTTCTATTTATTATGTATATATATCAAGTTTATAGTTAATTTACAAAATTTAAATATTTTTATGTAAATTTAAGTTTAATTGCAAAAAATAATTTTTTTTGAGAAAAATATTAATTATATGACATCAAATATTATTCCAATTCTATTTATTATATGACTTAAATTTTATTGTAAAAGTGTTTTTTTTTTGTTCTGAAAAGCAATTTTATTCCAATTCTATTTATTATATACATACATATATATCAAGTTTATAGTTAATTTACAAAATTTAATTATTTTTATGGAAATTTAAGTTTTATTGCAAAAAATCATTTTCTCGATTTTTATGTAAGAATGTCATATTCTCGCACGCAAAATCGTTGAAGAATGAAGCTCATTCTTAAACGATTTTTGGTAACATTTAGTTTTTAAGTATTGGTACCCCCAAAATGTCAAACTGATTAATAACCTCAAATTCATTACTTTTATTGAAAATGAAGCCTTTATTATTGTTTTGTAATATAAAGTTTGCTCCAACAATGCATTTTAATGCAAAATTTTAAGTTTAATGTGTAAAAGTGCAGTTCAGGTTGTACTTGTGCAGGATAACAAATATTGTCATTTTGTGTTGCCAACTGACATTTTGCGAGAAAAATCCCCTAACTAACAACGACCACAAAACAATTAAAAAAACCTAAATAAAAGTTAAAATCGAGAAAATAGTATAAATCACACGTTGCAGAAGGCTATTCTCGCACTTATTCGTTCGTCCACTCGCTCCTTCGTCGCTCGAGGCCAAATTTCGAATTCGTGCGAGAATATGTGGCCTTCTGCAACTTGTACTTTAATATACTATTTTTTTGAGAAAAGTATTAATTAGGTATGTACCTATATGACATAAAATAAGAATTAAAGAAAAACCCCAACTTAAACTTTTTTAAATTTTATTGTAAAAAGTGTTTTTCTCGTTCTGAAAACCAATTTTATTCCAATTCTATTTATTAAATCAAGTTTATAGTTAATTTATGTTTAAGGAAATTTAAGTTTTATTGCAAAAAATTGTTTTTTTTGAGAAAAATATTAATTTTATGACATAAAATAAGAACTAAAAAAAATCTAATAACATTTTTGTTTAAATTTTATTGTTAAAAATATTAATTTTATGACAAAATAAGAATTCAAAAAAAATCTCTTAACTTTTTTTCTCCTAATTTTATTGTAAAGTGTATTTCAATTAAATTAAAAAAAAACTTTCTAATAACTTTTTTTCTTTAAATTTTGTTGTTAAAAGTGTTTTTCTCGTTCTGAAAAGCAATTTTATTCGAATTCTATTTATTATATCAAGTTTATAGTTATTTTACAAAATTTAATTATTTTTATGGAAATTTAAGTTTTATTGCAAACAATCATTTTTTGTGAAAAATATTAATTTTATGACATAAAATAAGAATCAAAAAAAAATATCTCACAACCTTTTTTCTTCAAATTTTATTGTAGATTTACAAAATTTAGTTATTTTTATGTAAATTTAAGTTTTATTGCAAAAAATCATTTTTTTAGAAAAATAAGTATTAATTTTATGACATAAAATAAGAATTAAAGAAAAAACTTTTTTTTTCAATTTGAAAAGCAATTTTATTCGAATTCTATTTATTATATCAAGTTTATAATTATTTTACAAAATTTAATTATTTTTATGGAAATCCAATAACTTTTTTGTTTAAAGTTTATTGTTATGTTATGACAAAATAAGAATTAAAAAAAAATCTTTTAACTTATTTTCTCCTTATTTTATTGTAAAGTGTATTTCAATTAAATTTAAAAAAACTTTCTAATAACTTTTTTCTTTAAATTTTGTTGTTAAAAGTGTTTTTCTCGTTCTGAAAGCAATTTTATTAGAATTCTATTTATTAGGTATATCAAGTTTATAGTTAATTTACAAAATTTAATTATTTTTATGGAAATTTAGGTTTTATTGCAAAAAATCATTTTTTGTGAAAAATATCAATTTTATGACATAAAATAAGAATTAAAGAAAAAGTTTTTTTTTCAATTTTATTGTAAAAAGTTTTTCTCGTTCTGAAAAGCAATTTTATTCGAATTCTATTTATTACATCAAGTTATAGTTCGTTTTGAAAACCCGATGCTTCTTTAGCCTATAAATGAACAAAAGTTAAAAAGACCACACCACACATTACTTCAATAAAAATCTTCTCAGGTCGCCCTCTACGAGCAAGAAGAAAACGGGCGAGGCATGAACCCCAACCTCGCCGTCAAGCAGTACTCCAGAAGCTCTGCTGACCAAGAAACCCCGCTACCCTACGAGCTCCGTCCCGTGGCCGTCCTGCAAATGACCATGGGCTATTTACTGCACAAGATTGTCGATATGTGCGATACGTCCGACGTCAACGTGGGCGAGTGGTTTCATTTTCTATGGGACAGAACCCGCGGCATACGTAAGGATATCACCCAGCAAGAGTTGTGCTGCCACGGGTCGGTTGAGTTGGTAGAGCAGTGTGCTAGGTTTCACATACACTGCTCTGCTAGGTTGGTGGGCGAGGAACCGTCGGTTTTTGACCAGAAGATCAACACCGAGAATTTAACAAAGTGCTTGCAGACTTTGAAGTACATGTACCACGATTTGCAGCTAAAAGGGGTCAACTGTTCTGATGAGGCGGAATTCAGAGCGTACATTATCCTACTGAACCTCAACGACGGTAACTTTATGTGGGAGGTGCAGCAGTTAAAGGCGGACATACAAAAATCGCCGGAGATAAAATTCGCGCTCGAGGTGCATTCGGCGTTGGACAAAAACAACTTCGTGAAGTTCTTCAAGTTGCTCTACTCGACGACCTACTTGAACGCGTGCGTTTTGATGCGGTACTTCGTGCAGGTGCGCGTCAAGGCCATACAAACTCTGTTGCGTTGCTATTCGCGGCGGAACTTCAGCACCGCGTACCCCCTTCGCGATCTCGTGCGGATGTTGGCGTTCGACGACGCTGAGTCGGCTCTGGATTTCTTCGGGACCTACGGCTTGGTCGCGGAGAACCAGCTCGACTTGAGTTTGAACCAGAGCCACTTCCAAACCCCCGAACTGCCGTACATCTTGGACAGATCCACTATAGTGGAGAGTAAAAGGAACACGTCCGTGGGGGAGGTCATATGCGGCAAACCTCTGCCCGGTAAATTGTTCGAGCACCATCAACCATCGAATAGTTTCGATGGCAGAGGTTACTTAACCTTCAACGAGTACCTATCTGAATCCGATTTGAAGGTGACCAATGAAGAGGCGGTTTTCCAAAGGAAAACCGAGTCCCCCAAACCACCCAAAGCAACCACCGCCAATATCTTCGCGCCTAAACCTGACACCGTCAACATTTTCGCAACCAAACCGGACGATGTCAGCATATTCGCGAAATCGATATTTCCACCGCCCATACCCGAGGAAAAACCCGCCTTCTTCAAACAACCGCAAATTTTCGGGGACACCAAATCAATTTTCGGGGGTTCCGCCCCCCCAATTTTCGGGAAAATACCCGCCATGCCCAAAGCTGCCGGTATTTTCGGCGGCGACCGACTGACAAACCCCGAGCAGAAAAAAGGAGGATTTTCCTTCGATATCACCAAACCCCCGCCGAATATTTTTGCAACTCCAAAAGCCCTGCCGCAAATTAGAATGCCTCTATCGCCCGACGAGGACGCCGAAAAAATGAAGCAGCTCGAACAGCAACGATTACTAAAGGAAACCCTGGAAAGGGAGGAGGAGTTGATACGTGAAAAAATACGGAAGGAAGAGGAGCAAATACGAAAGCTGGAGGAAAAACGCAGAACCGAGGAGGAGATGCGAGTCAAACAACTCGAAATGGAGAAACTGAAGAAGCAAGAGGAAGAACGGAAACTGGAGGAAATGCGACGTCGCGAAGAACACGAGAAACGCAAAAAAGAGGCACTCGACAGAAAACAAGAAGAAGAGCGAAGACTGAAACGCATAAAAGAAGAAACCATCAAAAAGAAGAACGCCGAAATACAAAAAACAGTTCAAGACGTGGTTAATTTCCTCGTTTCCTCCACCGAAGAAACCCACAAGTCGGCGACGTTAAAGCAGATAAAGTCGAAAATCCAGAACCGACTGGTACTCAAAATGTTCGGACAGTGGAGAAACACCATCGTCAAGAACAAGCGGAAGCGGAAAGCTGTGGATTATAGTCCCATATGGGTGAACACCAAATCCATCCCGGAGGAAGCCAAGGAGCTTCATACCAGCACGCAGGATTTGACTTTGAAGTACATGAAGAGGTACAAGAAGGGTGTGCCGTACGATATAAACGCTCTAGCGGAGAAACAAATAGAGAAAATCAATCTGGTAACGCTGACTTACGGTTCTCTATCGAAAAGGTTTCACGAGTTGGGTTTGGGATTACAGAAGAACATATTCTGGAAGGTGTCGATATCTCTGCCCAGCAAAGACGAATTGGAGACCGGTCTGACACGAATCGAAGAGACCCTGGATAAATTCTTGCAATGGAAAGACAAAAGCGGCACAAAAATACTCATAGAGCAATCCAAGGCTTACAGACAAAGCGTCACTTACTGTCTAGAGCGCCAACAAGGCTTCAACACCGCCAAAAATAACTCCAACGGCATCATATTCGTAGCTGATGATTTCAACCCACACCTTCAACAACGACTCGTGGAACTACTCAAAGGTTACGGTGTGTTCACCAAAATCCCCATCGTTATATTATTGCAAAATTACGACGAGAAAAGCAACGACAAACTGAAGGCTCTAACCGCGGAAAAAATCGTTTCCGATTACAACATTTTGGTGGACAACTTCACCCCCCAAAATCTCATGGGTTTGCTGGAGGAAGGTCTGATTTTTTTGGCGAGCAAGCAAGAAAAACCCCCGCCTTTGGAGATGACCACCTTCAAGTCCTTCATGACGAAGCATCTATGTACTGAGGTGTGGAGGAAAGCCAACAGTTTTGCCAAATGGAATAGCAACTACGAAAGTTGCCTCAAAAACCCCAAAACCGTTATTTCTTTGTACAATGAAGGGTTGAGTCGCTTGAAGCAAATCATTTTGAATAAGTCCTGTCTGGAGTTCGCTACATTCCCGGATGAATTCGTGGAGTATTTGGATGACAAACACCCAGATTACCTCCCTTGTGGGTACCGGTATATCCCGAAGTTCTGCCGCGATAAAAAATATTTAAACAAGTTGTCAAACATTCTAGACGACCTAAAATTACCAAAGTTCCTGTATAGCTGGCCACCAAAAGACGAGGCCAAATTGGAGCTGGCAATGATGGAATACTGTGAGAACTTATTCACGAACGATCCAACCAAAGCGTTCTACAAAATTATGGGCGTACTGCTTCAAGACATCGACCCTGTGGAAGACTTCCACAGAATAGGAAACACCATGTGGACCAACGTAATAGAGTTAATCAGTTTGGAGTTGCTGGACCAAACGGACTTGTCCTTGCAACATACAGAATACAAAGACAAATCGATTTTTGATGAATACATGGTCGTGTACGACGTAAACACGCTGAATGACTACACGAACAACGACTGGTATTACATAAATAATCTTGAAATACGCGGGGAAATCACGCGGCAACTCAACAAACAAAAAAATGAGGTTGCACCCAAGCGAAAACGGTCTTTGGACTTGAATTTGAGCGAAAATTTGGACGAAACCCTCAAGGAAATCGACGCTGAATTTTGTTGCGATAAAAATGTTTCCAAAATGAAGCAGGATTTGGAGGAATTCAATGCCATGATGAAAGACTTGGAGGACAGCATTAATATACACAAAAGGATATCCTCCACGTTTGAAAGCACTTTGAAGAATATTATTGATGATAAGTAGTGGTTTTAGCTTTTTTAAATAAATTTATATGTTTTAAAGTGTGTTTTATTTAGTTTTTGGGTAAATAAAAGGGTTTATATTGTGGATCATTTATTTGACAGGCTTGTTTCTATCATAACAAAAAATTATTACATTGAGTAATAAAGTAAAAAATAATAGTACTATTATTAAAAGTGGCTGCTAAAATCTGCTGACTATTCCATAAAACTAACAATTTATTCCTAGTGGATTCCATTTAAGCATCTGCAACCACAAATAAAATCAACAATGTGAAAAACAAACAACTTTATCGAACTTACTGTATCTAATCTTGCACTGTTGAATTGCCTCGTTGAATCCCTGGCACAACGTGAGATCCGATTGCGTGGAAGCACACTGCAAGAACTGCTTGATCTCCCATGCGCAAGGCCCCGAGGATTCGGCAGGTGGCGCTGCGTACAGCTGTTGTGGGGCTGCGGCCTGTTTTTGTGGGGCTGAAGCCGATTCGCTCGAACCACCACCACTGAACAATCCTGTTACAGCCGCACCCACAGTGTGACCAACGGCGGAACCGACAGCTACACCTCCAGCTGTGGCGGCCATCTGCCCGAACAGCCCTGGGCCCTGAGATGGGGCTGGAGCGGGGGCTGTCTGTGCTGGGGCCCTGGCGGGCGAGTTCGCGGATTTAAACATTATGAATGTGTTTGTTATCGCTCTAAATCGCCTTTTATGATGACTACCATTGAATCATTCATGGCAAAGCTTTTAAACAGTTCGGTTTGGAAAAAGGCCAAAAGGTATATCAAATGGAAAACAATTTACGAAAATAGCCATATAAATACTAAATTCGTAGTAAGTTGGGCAACAGAGTTCACTCGTTTGAAGTAAATTATATTGAATGAATCCTTTCTAGAATTTTCAGAGGATTTTATGGAATATTTGGATGACGAACATGTGGATACCGATATATCCAAAGCGATAAAATTGTTTGGACAAGTTATAAAACATTCTATAGACGACCTAAAATAACCAACGTTTCTGGATAGCTGGCCTCCAAAAGACGAGGCCAAATTGGAGCTGGCAATGATGGAATACTGTGAGAACTTATTCACGAACGATCCAACCAAAGCGTTCTACAAAATTATGGGCGTACTTCTTCAAGACATCGACCCTGTGGAAGACTTCCACAGAATAGAAAACACCATGTGGACCAACGTAATAGAGTTAATCAGTTTGGAGTTGCTGAACCAAATGGACTTGTCCTTGCAACGTACAGAATATAAAGACAAATCGATTTTTGATGAATACATGGTCGTGTACGATGTAAACACGCTGAATGACTACACGAATAACGACTGGTATTACATAAATAATCCTGAAATACGTAGGGAAATCACGCGTCAACTCAACAAACAAAAAAATGAGGTTGCACCCAAGCGAAAACGGTCTTTGGACTTGAATTTGAGCGGAAATTTGGACGAAACCCTCAAGGAAACCGACGTTAAGTTTTGCTGTGATAAAAATGTTTCAAAAATGAAGCAGGATTTGGAGGAATTCAATGCCATGATGAAAGACTTGGAGGACAGCATTAATACACACAAAAGGATATCCTCCACGTTTGAAAGCACTTTGAAAAATATTATTGATGATAAGTAGTGGTTTTAGCTTTTTTAAATAAATTTATACGTTTTAAAACGTGTTTTATTTAGTGTTAGGGTGAATAAAAGGGTTTATATTGTAGATCATTTATTTGACAGGCTTGTTTCTATCATAACAAAAAATTATTACATTGGGTAATAAAGTAAAAAATAATAGTACTATTATTAGAAGTGGCGGCTAAAATCTGCTGACTATTCCATAAAACTAATAATTTATTCCTAGTGGATTCCATTTAAACATCTGCAACCACAAATAAAATCACAATGTGAAAAACAAATAACTTAATCGAACTTACTGTATCTAATCTTGCACTGTTGAATTGCCTCGTTAAATCCCTGGCACAACGTCAGATCCGATTGTGTGGATGCACACTGCAAGAACTGCTTGATCTCCCATGCGCAAGGCCCCGTAGGTTCGGCAGATTGCCCCGCGTACTGCTGCGCTTGTGGGGCTGTAGCCTGCTGCTGTGGGGCTGGAGCTGCCTCGCTTGAGCCCCCACCGCTGAACATCCCCGTCACGGCGGCCCCCATTGTGTGCCCGATGGCCGAACCGACGGCAACACCGCCTGCAGTGGCCGCCATTTGTCCGAACAGCCCTGGGCCCTGAGATGGGGCTGGAGCAGGGGCTGCCTGCACGGGGGCTGGAGCCGGGGCCGGGGCGGTCCTAGCAGGCAAATTCGAGGACCTAAACATACCAACTGTTAGTTTTCCATCGATTATTACATGTTTCGCGAGTCGACATAACCTCACTTATCGTTACCTTGATGGTGAAGGAGAAGAAGCACGTCCACGTCTCGGCATTTTATTATTATTATATATCACAAATATTAACAACAAATATCACAACTTTTTAATGCTTTCTCTTAAACTTTTCAGGTACTATTACGTAAAAATAGATCCCGTCTACGTTTTATAGCTGTCAGACAGTTTCTAGAAATTTTGGGTTAATCTGCGAACGTCTGCGCAGTACGTTGCGAGCTTTTTCAACGTGTTGGAGTGAGACGGAGATAATCACGTTTATCGTTGATAATTATAGATGTGACGTCACAGGGATCGAAGTGCAAAAATACAGGGGCGCACTAAACCCTGATAATACGAATACGAAAGATAAAAATGATGTTTCGCAAAATTTCGTCATATTTTTCTGCTAATAAAACGCGTCATCTTGTTTATTTGGGTATTGTAAACACGTGGTGGAATTTTTTAATTTTAATTTTTAAATATCCCTTTACGGAACTGGCAATTTTCCAAGAAATATTTGGCAAAAATTTTACTTTTTTCTTGAATCATGTGATTTTATTTGTCGTAAAAATGTACACGTGATTATTTCTAATTTTATTCTAAATATAATTTATTGAAATAAAAATTTTACTTACGAATGGGAATAACCCCTAGCACCCCTAGGTGGGGCTCTACTAGGGGCGGCTTTCGTCTTACGGCCCATATTTAAAACGCACAAATTTCAAAACAAACACTAAACTGTCAAATAAATAATCTTACTTCTTGGCGTTTTTAACCATTGTTCTAATTTAAAAATCGTACCATGGTGCATTCAGTAATAAAAGGCATTCTATACAAATTAATTATAGCTTCGGCTATATTTCGCGAGATGTCGTTACTGATAAGATTCAACATATACTTACATATACTGTGGTAAGTATATGAGATTCAAAAGTTTAGCAGGTTTAAAATAACTTCTAAACTAAGGCAAAATAATCGATCCACACAAATTTTCGATGAATTTCAATCGCAAATAACTTTTTTATTTGTGTTCGGATTTAAACAAATATTAAAGAATATTGTAGATACATTAATGGGGAATCGCTCACATTTTAAAAATTACTAAAAAATACACGTACGTTTATAATATACAGGTTTAAACAAAAAGATGTTTTTTACCATAAGTTTAACACACTTTGTAGAGTGGCAAAAGCGTAGGTATTTTGTTCTAAATTAAGTTTTAATTATCAAGTCACATGATGTGACTCACATCTAGCTATTTTTAATAGTTTTGTTTTTGGTTTACCTTATATCAATTGATACATATATTTATTTTTGTGAAAAATATGGATTTTTTTAAAAAAACATTGCAATTTCCAATATTTTTCCTGTATAAGGAACTAAGGTTGCTATGGTCCATCCATAGCCTATGGAGGATGACAGTGACAGTTTTGTTGAATCATCCCATACTTGGACCTGTCATATACAGCTTTCAAAAGCTATCAAATCGTTTTTGTAAATTAATGTCTTAATTTTGAGGTGTCTTCTTACTTTAAAAAATGGATATGTCTCCGACTGATGTTGCCAGAGCCATTAATTTAATCCAGGATGGACGGTTACAGTACTGTATACTGTATACGTATTACGTGGCAAGTGTTTTAAACGTCACAAGAAGTAAAGTACAAAGGGCAACATCAGTCGGAGACATTTTTAAAAGTAAAAAGACACCTCAAAATTAACACATTAATTTACAAAATACAATGTGATACCTTTTGAAAGCTGTATATATATGACATGTCCAAGTATGGGATGATTCAACAAAACTGTCACTGTCATCCTCCATAGGCTATGGATAGACCATAGCAACCTTAGTTCTTCATACAAAAAAATATTGGAAATTGCAATGTTTTTTTAAAAAATCCATATTTTCCACAAAAATAAATATATCGAGGTGAACCAAAAACAAAACTGTTAAGAATAGATGTGACTTGATAAATAAAACTTAATTTAGAACAATATACGGTTTTGCCACTCTACAGAGTGTCTTAAACTAATGGTAAAAAACATATTTTTGTTTAAACCTGTATATTATAAACGTACGTCTATTTTTTAGTAATTTTTTAAAATGTGAGCGATTGTCCATTAATTTATCTACAATATTCTTTAATATTCGTTTAAATCCGACATCAAATAAAAAAGTTATTTTCGATTGAAATTTATCGAAAATTTGTGTGGATCGATTATTTTGCCTGTGAGTGTAGGTATTAAAACAATATTTAGAAAATTTTTGTCTTATTGTCAGAACTTGAAACTATTTTTATTTATCTTATTTTCCTATTTTATACATACCGTTTTGTATACTTATATACATATATTTTGTTTACTTATATTATATTTATTACTGGATGTTTATGTAATAATTTTTACATGTAACATGTGGCAGAGGTTATGAACCAATTTTTTTCCCTCTTACATAATATTTTTTAGATTAATCTTGTAGTGTAACGAACTAAAGACCTTCGTTCGTAATTTCGAGGTTACCTATGACAATTAGTGTTTAATTATTTTTTGTTTGCACACCTGGTACTGTATAGTATCAAATTAATTAAACATTTAAAACTAATGACGATGTTAACCCGGAAGAATATTGAGTAATTAATAAAAACCCATTAAAAATGTAAAAAAGGTTCACGTGGCGTCTATAAAATAGTTTCGTTAAAATAGGTATTAATAAATTAAAACATCCATTAATTAATTATTAACGTAGTTAAGATACAATTTGACATAGGAAGGTCATGGAAATAATATTAAGTATATTTACGAAAATGTATAAAAAATTATCTGAATTTGATAAGAGTGAATTATTATGCTGAGCTAACAATTTTTAGAGCAAAGTTCGGAGTGTGCAATATTTTTTGTTTTTCTTAGAATATTATATAGTTTTCTGAAAACGTGCTTTTTTACTTGACCTTGCTCAACACAACAAATATTAATTTTACTATAGATTAATTTTGCTGCTAAAGATTAAAAAATATTTGCAAGAACAAATTATAGGCGATTGTATAAGAATTAAATAGTGTATTATGTATCAAATTTGATAAACTCCATTTTATACACGAATTTAATTTAGGCACGAGCGAGCTTGCGAGCTAGTTTTTAAACTAATGAGTGTATAGAAAAGTTTATAAACGAGGTGCATACTATACTTTTTCTACGACAAATACTTATTATTATCTTAAAATGATTTAAATCAAATATTTGTATAGAGCGCCATCTATGAAACAATAGGGGAATCTGTGTGTCACCGTCAAATGTCAAATTTTTATATTTTATAAACACAATTATTAAGGTTATAAATCGAAATGTATTTCTTGAAAATTTACAGTTTTTCACAGTGAAAGTAAAGAAAATGTTTTATGAGCACTTTATAGTTTACTGCCGGCGAAATTAAAAGGTCAGTACAATGTTCATATAAACTTTTCAAATATTGGCGTTGAGAAACTATTTAATATTTTTGTATTGAGATAATAAAATAATTTTCACATTTAGTATTATTTTACAAGAAAGGCACTTTATTTTAACGATTGTATAACATTTGACAACTGTCAACTGACTAAAAACCTGTTGCTAACTTCAGTAAAGCGCCATAAAGCCACAACTTGTCAATGTGTATTTAAAAGGTCACTTAGTGTCATGTAAACATGTACGATAAAGGGCTTTAAAGACTTTAAAAAAGGTTTTTGTATTCTAAATATTTTATTTTTTTTTAAATTTATTGCAGTTAGCAGTTAAACGCTAAAATTATTGTAATTTTTTTAAATATTTTATGGTAAATAATATGAATAATAATAAAACATTAAATATAAATATTAAAGCTGGCCTTGCAGTAAATGACTTTTGATAAAAAAATTAAAAATACACAAAATTTTCCAATAAATAATATTATCATTGATCTTAAAAAATGCACGGATACGGAGTTCGGTATCGTTGTAGTGCACAAAGTAAAGCTTGGTTTTAATCTTGTTTTTTTATGAAAATCCATGAAACCCAAAAATTTTTGTTTATTTTAATTTATTAGTTATTCGTCGGCCCCATGGCCCCGCATTAAATTAACTTTTCATCAAAGTTACTTGTGTTTTTCAGCTAAAACAGATTTGATGACATTTAGAGTGCATTTTCAAGGCTCTGACAGCTAAAATTAACTTGTTTTCATTCTTTCACTGAGTTTATTTTTGGTAGGGTTGTGTTAAGCAATGTTTTTTTGTTTTACAATAAATTTGCAGTATTGTACCTATAGGTACAATTTAATTAAAGATGTAAAATATCAAAAATGGTATAAAAATTAAAAATATAAATTAAAAAATTATACACAAGGTGGGAAGTCCAGACTTCCTCAAGAACTGTACAATTTTTAAATAAAAAAAATCGCTAAAAGAATATTAATGTATTGATTTGCCTGTTTATAAAACACGTGGTCAATTCACTTACATACAGGTTACCTGGTTTATATTATATTCCAGGTCACTAACTTCAAAAAACTATTTATTCAAATAAAATTAATTCACTAGGTATGTGGGTAATAAATTAATAACCACAAACAATTTCCTTATTACTTACTTTGTATTATAAACACAGTGCCTGGCAAGGTTACATTTATAAAACAATAAAAATAATTCAATGACTATTTTTTTCTAATATCTCGAATAAATGATGACCATAGGCGTGCGAAAAATCCTCATAATTTTTTGTGTTTTTTTTTTAATTCTCGATCTTCAAATACAATTCTCCAGATAATTTTACGTAAAAAAGCCAAAAGTATTTTGAAATAACATCTTAGCAATTAAAGTGCCTTATAAGAATATATCCTCTACGTTTTTAGTTGTTTATCTACATTGTAAAATTAGTACAGGTTAGCATATAGAATAACGATTATATAAGTCAAAAAGTGTGCGTTTCGGGTGTTTCACGATTCTGCCTCTATGTCCTGACCATTGTTACATTTATTTGAAATTCAGCGAATTTTCTTAGGGAAACATTCCTAAAAATTACAGGCCTCCAAAAGTATAATATTTACTAACCATCTACCACATAATCACTGTCACAAATAACGTTTTACTATTTTTTTTTATAAAATTTTACTATGTTTCGGGTGTTACCATGGTTTTGTTTCGGGTGTTACAAGTACAAAAATTAAACACTTTATATGGACAAAATCTATGTTTTATTAGTCTCTAGGTACTACAAAATAG